TAAAAATAAAAGACAATAAAATTCATCAGGCTCTAATTAAAAGTCGCAATGCAGGGGGCAATAAGAGCCGGGCGCTAGATATAAGGCGCGGATGTAACAAATTTTATATGGTTTATTTGAAATCAACGACGTCGAACGTTTCGACCAACTCCTTCTCAATGGCGATCGCGTATGGAAAAATCTATCGTGTCAACATATTCTTGTGTGTTGTGGCGGCCGCAATTAGAGTATAAAAATAATGTCACAGTATAAAAAGAGAACTTGGCGATTACCAACTGCACGCCCATCGTTGTGCGCACGATTTCTTTCACCATCTCGCACAGTTGTGGAAGTCCAACAGCAGAAGCTCGCAACGCAACACAAAGCGTAGATTTAGTGTGACCAGCCGAATACTTATAGCGTGGTATCAGGCTCTGACGTGAAATTCGAAGGAATAAAGGACACAAGAGCCAAGACAGGATGTCTGAATGGTTATCATTTTTCAATTTACCGCGAAAAGTTTACCTCGGCCAAGGTTTGAACCTGGACCTTCCGCTCGCCAATTCGACCACCGAGGCACGTACAGGTATGAAAAAATACAAAATGGAAGACAACTCACAAGGCGGAACCTGTCGCATTTGTCTCGTTCTTATGACACGAGGAAAAGCAGCAGCTCAACGTTGGAGTACCGCTCGCCCGGAATGTATGAAATATCATTGTGCCGCGCGATCGAAGTTAAAGGCGAATAGATGGTCGATACTTTCCAATATCGGCGTATCGGTGACCCTAATCGGCGGATTCGCCACGCGCGCCGATAGCGGTGGGCGATTAATCGCCCGAGGGAACGGGTTTGTCGGAAATGAAATATCTGGGTAGAAAATCATGCCCGACCGTAAAGGATCGAGCGGTCTCTTCCTCATTTAAGATTGTAGGGGCACGTTGTCGCTACCTATAATACCGTAGCGGCGCGGCTCGTAGCCATTCACCGCCGGGGCTTCCTCCGATCTCGCTCGCGGCGGCGGCGGCGGCTCGGACCCCCCGATCGAAGGGGATTATTCGTCCATTATGGATTCGTGACTATATCGACGACTGTCCGGCGCGTCGATAAACATTCTTCAAATTTCCGCCGAAATCCTTTCCGACACGCGGCCGTGTGTTCCCGATCGCACCTGATTAACGTTACCTGAGCTTTTACGAATTTTACCCCGCGTAACTAAAATTAGCTATTCTATCTGTGTCCAAGATTTTTAAGTAATACCGAGGGGGAAACCGCTAACCGAAATCTTGCACACCACTAATGCCCAGTGGGCATTACTTTATCTTATTATCTTATTTTATTTTATTTATCTTGTGTTATCTTATTTTATCTGAGGGGGAAACCGCTGATCAAAATCGTGTACACCAATGCCCACTAATGCCTAGTGGGTATTACTGTATCTTATTATCTTATTTTATCTTACTTTATCCTTAAAGTGCTCCGGCAAGGCCTAAAAATGCCTAGTAATGCCCAGCGATGCCGCAAATCTGTACACCACAATGCCCTCAGCGGTTTCCCCCTCGAGTGATACTAATCAATTCTCTCAATTAGTTCTGTCGATATTCAGTAACGCAAAGATCATTTTCATTTAAGAGGCACTAACCGAAATGTTAAGTTGCTTAACTACAAAAAAACGGTCAAAATTTTTCCCAATAATTCGATTACTAATTGTGGGCCCCAAAATGGTTTGCTTAACTGTCTTTTTTTCCCCAGAGTGCCCGGCGATTGGAGTCCCACTTACTTTTTAATTACGTTTTCTACCCGCCAGGTGAGGACTTTTTCGATAACGAGCAATGCTTTTTACAATAACCTGGCGAGTGGTAAAAGAGAATGCGTCTTTAAACGTAAGTAATCGCCGAGGGAAAGTCCCTGGGACTCGATTCGTTGAATTCATTCGCGAGAGAAGCGCATGTGCGAAAATTCTGCTCTTACGGAAAAGTCGCGAGTTGATCGCGACTAGAGACAGGGACATAAATTTGACCTGTACATTCGCTGGAGTTGCGTAACTTTAATCTCACCAAGGTTCGTCGATAATTACGCGGTCGATTCGGGATTCAGCGCGCATTGACGATAGGAATTGACGCGATTATTTCTCAATCGTTCCACTTTTACCACCGAGCGAAACGTACGGCCGGTTCGCCGCTTCCCTACGGTGAGGACAGCCGGTCGAGATGAAGCAGGTATTTCGTGATTACGAGACCGTACAGTTGCGGTTTCCAATACGTATCCTTGAACCCGCCGTTGAGTGGCGTCGAACATAACTCGCATAATAACTCGCTACTTACGCGCCACTTTGGATCCGCGCGCGGCCAACGTCTCGGGGGATGCTGCCGTAGGAAATAATCACGAAGAAAGCCGTATTCCCCCGTGGACTCGGGATTCCCCGCTCGCGTGATACACTCCGCAGCGCGCCGTGTTTCACGCGAGAAACACCCGTGGCATCAACGCGCGATCGTCGTGTCAATAAAAATAATCGACTGTCCAGAACTCGCGGAGGATATTTGTCTGCGGTGGAGAACACATTTGTTCAGGCCGGCCGCGGCCGAACGGCGCGGGCGAGGTGTTCGGATAGAGAGGGGGGGGGGTAGGGGGGAGAGAGCGAGGGAGGGACAAGTTTGCCTTCGTCTCCCGGAGGAAATTACCGTGGATAGAGATGATGCTTGCAGGAGAATGCATTCCCTGATCGCGCGCGCACGCGATTGCACGCTAATGATATTATAAATCTGGATAAACTTGTTCTCGATAAATAATGACGATATCTTTACGACGCCCGGCGCGTCGTCAGCTTTTACGAATTTTCACTTTAACGCGCCGTTGCAGGGCACCAGAAGGGATCTTTAGTCTAAGGTACTCATAGTCGGATCTTATATTCAAGACCGTCTTAAGATCATCCTTGGATACGCCGTAGCCAATGAAATGTTCCATACGGAACTTCTAGATGAATTCAAGACGGTCTCGAATATAAGATCCGACTGTGAACATACCGGTCTGTGAGATTGAAAACATGATCTCAAGTTAATACAGGATTGGACGAAAAGCACTTTGCAGGAACGATCTTTAACCCTTTGAAGTATACCCTTTTTTGCGGCTTTTCAAGTCGCTGATTACGATTCTGGTGTCAGAATTGCAAAATTCAAATGCTGATTTTCAGACGCCATGCTGGATCCGCCATTGTGAATGTTGTAATTCTGACCTCATATGTATGTGTAATCACACCCTCAGAAAGGATTTCTGTTACCGAGACAAAAACTATTCTCGACGCATTTATATTTCTCACAACCTCGTTTAGTATAAAAATAAGACAATAGCAAAATAAAATCGATAATTCTTATTCTCCTCTGTCGAATTAAAAAAGATTGCCTTGCTATACTGAGACAAGAGTAACTCATATACTGCGTTTAGAATAAACTTTCTTTCCATCTTGCAACGCACGCAGTTGGCACCGCGATATTCGACAAAAGACGATTCATTTTACTCTAGATTTTAGAATTTTTTATTTAAGATTAAAATGTCCCCTTCTCTATAATAAATACGATTAGCGCTATATCGATCCTATTTCGTAATACATTGAAATGTAATAGCATTGGATCCGGAAATTTTTTCTGTGGGTGTAGCAATCTGAAAAACTTGCGAATACCGGGCTCCAGCTAAATCGATTGCAGTTTTTGCAATTTCGACTCCTTATATTAAATCCACCATCTTGCATTTTCAACTTTTCAAATATTGACTTCAGAAATTTTAAAAAGAAGAATTGTTTTCCCGTGCGTGCCTCAAAGGGTTGCGCTTTAGGGTTGCTGTAATCTTTTTAATTATGGACGATGGTCTTGTGTTTGTTTCTTTACGTTAATTCCCCCTCTGCCGATTAATGTTTCAACTATACTTTTACGTTACTCTAACACTCGCGAATTAATTGTTATTCGAAGATCGCGAGTGGCTGGGAGAATAAAATGTCTCTAGATGCCCCCGGCTTCTTCCACAAGAAACCGGAGGCGTCGATAGGCGTTTCTTGCCAGTGAAAGTACCAAAGATCTACGTCCACGATCTAAGGAATATGCGCGACGACATAGTCGGAAGGTTTAGTTAAACTCTGTCCAGTATAAAATTACAACTTAAAGTGTATCGTCTTGCAGCAACACGAGAGTCTAAACGCGCATTTAAGCGCCGGAATAATTAAGACGATTTTCAGATATCGTCGCCAACTTTTTCCCAAGTTTGCGCTTCTTATTCCAGCTGTTGTTGTCGCGCGACAAGAGATCGTAGCCTCGCAAAAGATTGACGAAATAATTTAAAAAAAAAAGACAAGAGTTGAAAAATTTGAAATAAACAATTTTAAATCGCACGAATTTTATGACTTGAGTTGGAGAACCAACCTGAGTTAAAAACGTTTCAAAATACGCTTCCATTCTACATGTTTTCCAAGGGCTGGTTTCACAAACGTCGATTAACTGCTCACCAAAGGTTAATTGACTCTCCGTCTCTTCTTGAATAATAAGACGGAAAAAGATTGGGAGTCGAGTGAACTCTGGTTAACAGTTAACCGAAGGTTAATTGATCCTCCGTCTCCCCTTAAGTAATAAGGTGGAAAAAGATAGGGACTCGACTGGACTCTGGTTAACCGGTCAACCGACGTTTGTGAAACTGGCCCTAAATATTTTTACGACTTAGATTAGCCAGGGCTTAGCAATCGCCATCTTCGTAAGCGTCGCCGATTAAAAGGAGGCAAAAGTTGACAGTTAAAAATAACTTTTCGACGATTCGGAGTTCTGTGACTTGCGTTCAAGGGTCAAGCTTGGTGTAAAATGTTGTTCCGCTCTGCACTGGAACATTCCAAGTCTTTCGACGACTCAGATTAAGCCCAGTCCCATGGCGGCGATCGTGCCACGCGTTTTCACGCCGCAACAGCATACGACGGGGGTTAAATAGGAAACCTCTCGCCGTCCCGGTTTGTTTAGCTGATAAAAGATACGTGGCAACTTTGACTCACCACCAGTTGGCTTCCGCGCCGCTTTGCCACGCGACGATCAGCAAAGACACAAGCAGGTAACTCATTGACATGACGAGCGTACGTTGCGGCGATCCCGTGTAGATTCTCCTTCTTTCTCTCTTTTTCCCCCGTCAACTCGACCGTCGAATCCTCGAAGTCGAATCTCCTCGTAAAGGCGCGAAGGAGCGGAGAGATTGCGTTGGCCCGTTGTTACCTTCTCAGCCCCGCATTCTTACATGCGCCGCCGACGACCGTCCATGTTTTGCATGGTTTTTTCCGCGAACGCGATACGCGAACGTCGGGCCGTGCGATCCGACCGTAGATCGCGCGCGAACGAGAAGGAGCGAGAAGGGAGGCGGAACGCGGCGAGGATCCGAGCGATCTCGGAGCGCGCGGCCGGAGCGGATCGACACCCCGCGCGTTACCCGCGTCCTTCCTCGCGGCGCGCCGTGCTCGTAAAGACTGCGGACGAAAGTTCGGCTCCAACGTCTGGTCCCCTCGTCTCGCCTTACATGTTTCCGGCGACCGCGACGCAATCGAATAACGGAGCGCGAATCGGCCGTAAATCGCGCCGCGCGCCGAAAAGTCTGGGAATCCTACGAGCCCCCCCCCTGGGGAATTTTTATCGGCGGAACCTCGGCGCTGGCGAAAAAATGTGCGAGACGAGAGCAGCCGTCGTCGTCGTCGTCGTAGTCGCGCACGATGATCGCAACCGGAGCCGACACGGGCGAGACGACGCTCCGTGCACGTTCGCGTACGGACTGTGGCCGGTAGTCACGAGGAAAAGGGCAACGGGGCTCACACGGTGGGCGGAGTCGCCGCTCGTTCGCGGCACGCCGATTGGCCGCGTCGCCGAAGAGCCTCCGAGGCTCCACTCGCGCTAATTAAGCATTTCGGCGCACCGACGACGGGACGGTGCGAGCGCGTACGCTCGCTCGCTCGCGATTCGTTCCTCGGCTCGCGCTTGTCTCACCGAATCCGACTTAACGGCGTAGACCCTGTTGTCGTCCCTGTCCCTGTCCCTGCGTCGCGCCGCCAGCGCGTTTACGTCGCTGCCACGAGATGGGAGACCATCGGATATTTGGCCCGCGGTGGATTTCCAATTGCTCGTAGACACCGGACCGCGGTCTCATTTCCCGAATCGAACGAGAGAGAGTTCGCTTTTTTAGTAAGTAACACAGTGGCTCGTGCGATAAAACTCAGAGGTACCCTACACGGTATGGTTACACCACGTGTCTAATTAGTCCCAGTCTACAATAGATGGTTCAAGCCCCAAGCTTTAAGAAATTGGCCAATCACGGTCAAGTATGAATAGAAAACGCGACTGTGATTAGTCAATTTCTTAAGGCATAGGCCCGGTTTCACCAACGCGAGTTAATCTAATCGGTCGGTTAACTTAACAGGGTGCCAACAGCCGAACATAAAACTGATACCAAGAAAATAGATTAATAAAGAAGTTTTATGTTGGCACCCTGTTAAGTTAACCGACCGATTAGATTAACTCGCGTTGGTGAAACCGGGCCTTAGGGTTTAAATCTCTATTGTAGACTGGGACTTAGGGTTAGAACAGCCCCAATAAATAGTAATATTTCGGACAGCTATACCTGCGGTTGTCATACGCTTTGTGCAGCAAACTTGTAGCGAATTCGGTTACTTGCACCGAGTGCACACTAAGGCCTGTTTATAGTCGGCTCTTATATTTAACTTTGTCTTAAACACATGTTCAAAGAGTATTTAGTCGAAAAATGATCCGCGTAAATGTTGTGCAGACCATTTTTCTGGATAAGAAGTACCGCAAGATGTACTTAAGATGATCTTTAAATATAAGAATTCACTGGAAACAAGGCTTAGTGTGCACTCAGTGCGCACTAGTGCAACCAACCGAACACGCTATTAGTGAATGCTGCAACGCAAAACTATGTAGATGCCCCCCCCCCCCCGCTATTTATACGGCGACATTTGAATTTTAGTTATTTTTGCCTTAGCCGGTCCTTCCGCGTGGACAGGGCTGTGGTGACAGTTTTGTTTGATTTTTACTTTTTAAAATTAATATTTAATACAGTTGTTAATTCGCTAACCTTTTGTCTTAAAAACCTTTGTGTCTTACAATTGCTATAAAAGTTTTGCAAAAAGGTACTCTCTGAAAGTCAATCAGTGGATTGTCACTGAAAACAGTTGGAGGGTATTATTATTTTTATGAATGTTACCCTGCACGGAAAGAGAAGCGTAGCTGCCGTATGTTGAAAACTGCACGTGGCCACTAAATGTCAGTCGTAAAATACGGACAGCTGATATTTAGTTGTGACAGCTAAAGAAGCTTAGGTGCGACAGCAAACCGTTTGCTGTGCTTTAGAAATTTATGGTTACGGCAGCAAAATGTGTTTAGCAAAATAATTGGCTGTGCGGTAGCGAAAATTTTCTTTTCAGCGTGTAAACTTGAAATCCACTACGAACCCTACTTGATAAACTTATAAGTCAAATCGTATCAAGAGTTGAAGAGTTAAAAGCTACCGCTACTCGTGTCCGTTTACGCACTAGCGTGTCCTTGTAAGCATGACAACCCAGCAAAGAAGGTGACGTCAAAATGACGCGAAATCTCGAATTATGAAATGAATCTTTTTTTCCCTGGAGGAGTTGAAAGAGAATTCGCTTTTATGTCATCAATTCTGAGCTCTTTCTCGAATAAGATTTCTTTTTACACTCTATAAAAATTTACACTAAAAAGGAATTCTCTTGAAGTTTATTTTGATTGTGCTACTTCTTAACGAATTTAAAAAGTGAATTCTTTTTGAGTTCATAACGATCACCCGTGCTATTGGGATAGTTGATCATTTTTAGACTATTAAAGAAACAAAGACTACGCTGTGCTCTTCTGTTTAATGATGACGGAGAAAGTTTATGAACTAAATGATTAATAATGTAGAAAATCATGTGGCTGACAAATGATTTTGTTTCTGAGAAAATAGGTAATGATATAAAAATTTCGATCCGCTATTTATCATTTTCGACCGAAGGACATTATTCGCAGACGCGAAAAGTTCATGTCTCTACTCGGTAAATTATAAACGCGAAAGTAGCATTGAACGTAATCGGTGGATGCATAAATTTATTTAAATGGTAGAAAGGACAAATGCGAGAGAGTAATTAAATAATTAACTTCGTATTGCTCGAATTATTCTTTACGGATTTAAGAAAAGTTCGGTGTATAACTAAATGTTACATAAAACTGCACTTTTGAAAACGAAGTGGACTTTTATATTGTAACTTTAACGTTACATTTATTTATGCAAAGTTATACCGTACTCAGCGCGTACGTTGTGTTATCCATAAAATGAGTTACATATTGATATAATTATAACAGCGAAATTATTCTCGTCATTACAATAATGGAAATGAAAGATTTTCCTTGACGGACCAATCGTTTCGTTATTTCCCAGTCACGAATAGCATTGTTTAATCAATACTGATATCGTAAATATCTATCGTTATCCAAACCGAAGGTATTTCAATGCACTTCGCTTTCTTCATACACAAACCTAAACTCGTGTTTAAATAACAATTATATCAAATGTCACATCACCGAATTGTACATAACAATCGTTTAAAATTGAAAAAATTTTGAAACCACCGAATTATATATAATTGTAAGTATTTTATATGATCAAGATTAATTTGAATAATCAACTTCGGCGATAAATATTAATTCAAATCAAGGTCGCTATTTTTCGAATTGTAAGTTTTAATTTTATCACGCGCTCGATAAAGATTAACGATTTCTAATCTGTGATTTCTTCTACGCATCTCGAGCTACGCTCGCGTTGTGTGTAACGCATAATTTGTAACATTACCGTGGAAATGAAACCTCGATAGGTACTCAAGTAGAACGAGAGATCATGACGACATCAAAGTAACATTGAAGTGACGTTGATATAATTGTCAAGTGATGAATAAAGTCATTATGACATCATCATGATGTCATATTACGAGATTTGTGTTCCACCACTTTTAGTCTCAATGCTATTAAGATATAGATATGCAAATTTTATCCGTTATTACATGTGGTAAGCATAAAGATAATTTCTGCATTAGACTCGGATTTACCAAAATTATTCCACTTTTCATTTATATAACAGCAAATTACAAGTTACGAAACAAAGCGACGCATATGCCATTGCGATAATCGAGAGAGCGTACTGGTGTATGTTACGATGTATTTTTTTGAAACGCGATAATATTTAATCTGGCGTACGGAAAGTGAAAATCACATTTCATGTTATTTTTAAACAAAAATATACAAACAATTAAAGGTCCTGTGTTTTCTCGCTACAATAACATAACGGAATTCATTTATATTTTAATATTTACTTATCAACGGAAATATTTATGTAATTTATTTATTGAACTTACTAATTGAAACCGTTAAAATAAACTCGAACACAAAAGCTCTCTGGAAAATTTAAAAGTTTAGGAAAGTAAAGATTAAACTAAATGAACATTTATTTTGGCTGTCGTGGAATAACGTAGAAAAATCATTTCGTTACCACTGTATGTTTTTTCATACAAATTCTAATAACTTTGTAACATTTCTCGTTAATATTTATGTCAAATTTTTCCATAAATTAGCTATTTAGAAAAATATGCTTCCTGCGTCTTATACATTTTGGTGATAACATTTTTGTTTCTTGTTTTTGTTAAAAAAGTGAAATACAGCTAGTAGAAACAGGCACCTATTTGACATTTCTGGTCCATGTTTTTATCGAGAAAAAAGCCTATTGGCATTTTTTTGGCAAGCCTGTTTGCCAATTTTTGCCTCTTAATATATTACGAGGCTAACGCTGCCATCTGTGGAGCTGATAGAGAAATTTATACGAGCAACAGTAGATAAGGGTTTGAAAAGCATTTGATTACAAGCCACAATAATGATAAATTATTAAAGTGAAAATTGAGATAAATTACAAATAATTCAAAGTATAAATGGGGCCATCTTTTTCCCGCAAACAACACCGACGTATAAATCACAAAAGTTTATTATATTTCTTTCAGAATTATATATTATGTAATATATATTCATATACATATATTACACAATATTTCGATGCCAGTAACAATATTAATTTTACATTGCATTTCGTTAAGCGTAATAGAGTGTGTTTTTGTTTCGGAAAAACTGCCATTACCTCTGATCGCAAAAAGGAATATATACCACTCTAAATACGATATTTTAACTAAATAACAAAATCATCTTAAAAATGATATATATATATGTATATACATTTAACAGAGCAGAAAATTATCTCTCTGACGACAGAAGTGCTTTGGCAATATGAGCTATAATGTGTCATATACGCATCAATTTATACTCAAGGCACTGTCACTGCACGACAAATTCCGACGTTGACATTGACAACATGTGTGTGACAAACCACAATGATCTTAATTCGACAGCTAATTGAAGAAGTAATTTGATGTTTCAACTGAAAAAGTTAGGACAAACAGGGGCATATCACATTCGTTGTTGAAAATATCTTGCGTGGTCATACAGTCGCGAATTCCGCTTGCCGTTGCGATGGATTGTGATACAAGCCGGCCATCGCTTCCTGCAACGCTCGTAGGCACGCGACGTGTGCTCTGAATCCACCCGCTCTCTCCATCTGACATTCGTTACGTATGTGCGAGACGTATCCGCGAGCTTGAAGCTCTCGCCAGTTAGGCGGCGACGGGCCTTCCACCTGCTGCCGGATAGGCGTGTAAGTGTAGAGAGGCCCCTCTTCTATCTTTGGCACCGAGTAGTTCTGATTTCCCTGATTACCAAATTTAATTCCCGTGCTGAACTGAGTCGCCCTAACGGTGGCGGCTTGGGCAGCTTTCGCCTCCTTCTTCTGGGCCTGTATCGCGGTAGTGAACGACTCGACGATATTTTTCGCATTCGCGTCGGAGAACATCAGCTCGTCGATCAGCGCTTCCTTCTCGCGAATCTTTTTCTTCTTCGCCTCGACCTCCTCCTTGACAAACTCTATCCTCCTTTCCTCCTCCTTCTGTCTCTCCAATTCTATCATCTCCTCCAGTTCATACTCGTTTCTGCCAAGCTTCAGTTTACTCTTCGCTATTTGCTCCTTGTTGTCCTTTTTATACTGCTCTATCTTCTTGTTCATCTCAATTGTGTCGATATTATTGGCCAGGTTGTATATTATCGTCTCGATTTCCTCTAAATAATCGTTGTACTCCCTTAATGTGGCAAAGTCCTCCTCCTTCTTATTAAAATCCCGTAGGATACGCTTCCTTATATTCACTTCCTTCTCCACCATAGAATCCTCGAACATTTGAATCCTAAAGTTCGTTCGCCTCAGTGGAATCTTGCATTCTGGACAGGACCCGGAGCCTGAATAGTCGTAAGAAACAAACACGTTAGTGAAAGAATCGCAATCTCCTCCGTCAAATTAAATATGACAAATAGAGTCGACCTTTCAAAAAGAGCAGGTCCACGCAGCTCTCGCACAATGTGTGGCCGCAGACGTTCACCATCATCTTCAGTGATGGATTCCGGTACTTGGTGGTCTTACACCGCGGGCACGCTTGATCGTCCATCTTCGGGGGAGAAAAAAACCCAGGTAAAACATGTACATTGAACGAGGGACGTCTCCTAGCTTAGAAGCCCAGTCTAGCTCTTTGCGCCCAGAAACATTTTATTTTGTAGCCAATAGACACGTTTCAAAAATTCGTGCGCGTTGATAAACTGCATATCATACATTGCGCAATCGTGCATTGTCGGCGAATTTTTTTAATATATTGACTTGCCTGTACAAAGTAGAATGTTTCTCGTGAGAAACACATTGTAGATTAGGCTCGAGCCGTATCTACAATGTGCCCTCCGCGTCTGGAAACATTCCATCTTGTAGTCAATAAATACGTTTAAAAAATTGGTGTACGTTGATTAATTGTAAGCTGTACATTGCATAATCGTGGATTGTCGACAAACCTTCCGAGCGTTTCGATTTGTTTGTATAGAATAAGAATGTTTCTAGATGCAGAAGGCACACTGTAGATTAGGTTTCAGAATAGGTTATCGCGCAAACGCGATAAATCGCAACTCACCGTTGTCGACGCTGTCGTTTCTCGCACGGAAATATGAATTAAAGCAAGCGGTCGGCACAGTCAACTGCCACCTGCGAACTACCTGACGTTACGTTCTAACATCGTACTCGGACAACGTTGCTCACGGCCGCGCGCGCGAACCACGCCACACTGGCAACATAACCTGCACAACCTGAAGCTGCTTCTCTCGAACGCTATCGAACCCCGACTATCGATAGGTTGGCATCGAGTAATGCAACTTTAATTTTGAAGGAAATTAAATTTCTCGAAAACAAATTTCGTTGCGCAAACACTTGTTTTCCGTTCTCTTGAAATTGTACATTTTCCGCTTTGTTTGCTCTCCGTTTGGTGAACGCGCTTGCCTTTGTCAATTATGCAACAGACGGCGATTGAATTGTGAGAAAGTACGAACTTAATAAACGGGGCGGCTGTTAATCAGCTAACAATATAACTGGCCGTCCCGAATAGAATTTACGAAAATTAACGGTGCTATAAAAAATTAATTTAGTTTTCGTTAATAAATTTGTTTTTCAGGTCCTTGTTTATTGTTTAAATTTTCTTAAGCAAACATAATTTTAACTGGCTTTATTACTGTATTATACTTTAATTTACACATTTCTGTTTTATTGTACATATTTTATGTTTATTATGTGTATTCTATTAATTTTATTTCAAAAAGCTGCAGTATAGGTTTTTAATATGTTTCACTGAATTTAGGTCAAACCCTAAAGTAAATTTATCATATATATTTAAGATAAATATTTCAAAATAAAATATAATATTACATTTATAGTATAATATTAAATGTTCGTTCGACCGATTACTTTCGCAAAGTCGTATCTCGATTCTACGCGATTTTCGGGATTTCTGCTTAAATACTCATTTAGGATCAGAACGAGCGTTTGAACAGAAACCATAGTAGCACAATATATTGGCGCAACAATGGGAAATAATGTACATCTAGTATTCCCAATATTATAAGATGGACGCCTTCTCTTATGTAGCAAAATATCGGTCTAATATTGTATCAATATTAGACCAATATTCTTATTACATTGTTAAATATTAGCCAATGCGCTTCCAATATAAATGTAATATTATATAATTATTATCGTGCAATATTTACATTTATTCCATAGCCAATATTGACTTTACGTTGGACAATATCGGCCAATGCACTGTGCTACTGGGGAAACTGGAAATTGTGTAAAATCGAAATACGACCTCGCGAAAGGGATCAGTCGATATGTTCCCAAATGGCGCAGGTAATTATTTTATCAGCTCAAGAAGAATTCACGTTTTCAAATTCCTTATGAATTAACGTAATCCGCTAAAAATGAATTCAAAAGAATTCCTTTCCGGTAGCTCAAAAAAATTACAGACAAGTATACCTTTTGATTTCTTATGGAAGTAAATTAAGGTTGTTCTAGATACAAAGAATTCCTTCTGTCTCCGAAAAAGAGCTCAGAATTGGTGACATCTTTTACGAAAAAAAGTAACGAAATAATTACTGGAAAATTACTGTATATCAGTAATTGAATCATTAGACTTTACTAATTTTTTTACGCAATACGCACAGTAATTTTCCACTAATCATTTTATTGCTTTTCCGTAAGGGATAAAAAGCGAATTATTTTTTAACACTTACACCCTCAGAAAGGATTTCTGTTATCCAGACAAAAAATTTTCTCGACGCATTTATATTTCTCACAACCTCATTTAGTGTAAAAATAAGACAATATCAAAATAAAATCAATAATTCTTATTCTCCTCTGTCGAATTAAGAAAGATTGACTTACTACATTGAGACAAGAGTAACTTATATAAACGTAAATTTATATATTCTCGCGTTTAGAATAAATTTTCCCTCAATCTTACAACGCACGCAGTTGGCACCGCGATATTCGACAAAAGACGATACGCACTATCATTTTATTCTAGATTTTAGAATTGTTCATTCAAGATTAAAATATTCCTTTCACTATAATAAATATTATTGGCGCTATATCGATCCTATAATACATTGAAGTGTAATAGCATTGGATCCGGAAAATTTTTTCTGTGGGTGCAGAAAGGATTTTTGTTACCGAGAGAAAAAATATTCTCGACGCATTTATATTTTTCACAGCTTCATTTAGTATAAAAATACGACAATTTCAAAATAAAATCAATAATTCTTATTCTCCTCTGTCGAATTAAGAAAGACTGACTTACTACATTGAGACAAGAGTAACTAATTAAAACGTAAGTTTATATATTCTCGCGTTTAGAATAAATTTTCCCTCAATCTTACAACGCACGAAATTCAACAAAAGACGATACGTACTATTATTTTATTCTAGATTGTAGAAGTTGCCATTTAAGATTAAAATGATCCTTTCTCTATAATAAATATGATTGGCGCTATATCGATCCTATTTTATGATACATTCAAGTGTGATGGCATTGGATCCGGAAATTTTTTTTCTGTGGGTGTAAGAGTCCTTTTAGAACAGAAGTGGGGTGGAAGAAGAGTCATTTGATAAAATTTGGGAACTTAAAAAGAATTCGTTTCAGATTCTTTCCGTATCTGGGTATACGTACATAAATTATAACTATTGTCAATTAAAATGAATAAATATGCGCGCGTGTGCGTGCGTGTGCGTGAAATTGAAAACTTGTCGGTGTACGCGGAGCGGATTTTTGCTACATATATAAAACATTAAAATTTGTAACAGTAGATTACACGTTCTTGAATTTATGAGCTCCGTATGATTACGTAATTTACGTCAGTAAGTAAAGAGAAAATGAAAAATAGTGCGCTCGTTCTCCCGTGCAAATTCACCGTGCGTCTCCTGCCTGTGATCTGCAGGAACCCGACGTGTGCGTTCATTTTTAAAACAGGAGTTGCGAAATTACGGCTACTCGGCTCTTTTGTTTCTCCCTTTACATTCGTCCTGTGGTTCCGTAACAATTGTTAAACATTCGTCGTTTTAGATTGCGAGCCAAGCGGGGGGGGGGGGGTAGGAGAGCGAAAAAAAACGAAACCGCGAGGAACGGAGGGAACGTTCAACAGACACGCTTAATGAGCACGGATCTCGCCGACGGTTCCGCAAACTTGCAGCGCGCAATCGAATTTATTAACCCATTTATCAGTTCGCCTGCTGAACGGGCATTTGTTTATCGAACATTTTGTCCGTTCGAGCTGGCCGAAGGTCTCGCCGCGATACTTTGCGCGCCGCAAAGTAGAACGGCGGGAATCTGTCGCAAAGTGAGTCGCCGGCGAGAAAAAAGACGAAGCTAATAAGCTAATAAGCCGATTAACCGTCAAAGGGCGGAATATTACCGCGATGCGGCGTGCGAGCGAGGGGCCGCGGGGGGATCCCCCGGTGGCAGGCGACGCTGGAAAATTCATGGCCTAAACACGGGGCGCGCGGAAAAAGTGAAAGCAAAACGAGCAGGCGCGAAACGCGGCCAAATGGCGCATCGGTCAGAAATGCGGAGCTTTGGCTGTCGCGAGGGCTTCCCGACGCCTTCGATTCGTCGAGGGTGAAGCACGACTCGGCGAGAAAAGGGATGGGGCGACATGAGATATTCCGTTTGTGAATTGTCGGTATATCCGCTTCGCAGGGGGGAACCGGGGGGCGCGAATATCGATGGGGCGCTCGCGAATATTATACGTATCGCAATTATTATCGTTCTTAATATTTTAGGTAATTGGATTCGCAAAAGTTTCCATTAATTACCGTGGCAAGTTCGTGTTCATTAAACAGCGAAGAATTATGAAGAAGCCGTTACGCGAAAGTTAATTAACAGCTAATAAGATAGACTTTAGATTAATTCGCAATGGGGGAAAAACATAAAAATACGCTGGAACTCGCAAAGACGATCGAACTGGGAAAAAGTGCGAGGCGCACTCTCTGAAAGTCAATCGGCGAATTAATTATCGTTGAAAACAGTCACTGATTTGCAGTTGTAAATGTACTACCGAAAATTGCAGTCGTGTAGAGGAAAGTCCTCTACACATGAGATAGAATTCGTCGAAAGTGTAATCGTTGCGAAAAAAAAGATTTGCGATTGTATCTGGACGTTGATCTCGCGTTTCTCGTTGATCTCACATTTGAGATAGTACACAGTTGGAAAATTTGTTTTCTTGCTAAAAAAAATATTCCGGTTAAAATCTTTGTGTTTTATGTTTAACACGTTCATGTGTTAATTTAACATTTTACTCTTGTGTTAATTAATCTCAAATGTAAAATTATTAGAATAATTGAAAATAAATGTTAAAACAACGCAATGTGTACTTATTTTTTAATTTTGCACAATACATATGTTCTCTGTTATTCGTAACAAGATTTATCTGTTAAAATTTACAGAATAAAATGTTGATTTTGTTCCATGTAACATAAGCGAGCGTGATTTCGAACCGTCATTTGACTTGTTACATCCGTGAAATGTAAAAAATACATTTTGTAAAATTCATTTTGTCATTAAAAATATGTTAATTTTACACACAATTTATTTCAAATTATTTTGAAATCTGCACTTGTTTTGTGTTAAAATATTAGCAGAGTATTAGTGCGACCATTTAACATATCCATATTGTGCAAAATTAACACAATAATTTGTGTCGAAATTCAACACAAATTTTTCAACTCTGTAGATTTTCACCGTCCAGATACAATCGCAAATCTTTTTTCGCAACGACTATATATAAAACGACTAAACGGATTTCACTCCAAGGGCAACAAATTCGCGGTGAAACAGACGACGCCTAATTAACTTGGCGGAAACTCCGCTGTCTCATATTAGGAGCCTATTTCATAATCGGGGAGTTTCCTCTGCTTGTAACTGTAAATCGGCGACTATTCATTGATAATCCACCGATTGACTTTTAAAGAGACGATATCTCGCCCTCCCGTGTAATACATAATGTTCCGCGCAACGGGGAAGATTTTTTTTTTGTCAACGCTTCACCTTCGACAGCAACTTCCACGCGCACACTCTCTCTCTATCTCTCCCGATATTTTCAATTCTTTCGGGAATGTCCGATGACATTTCTCGAAGGCACGAAATTCCCCGATAGAAATAACAAAAGAGCGGCAAGAGGGCTCGCAGCGGGCAGCGCACGTTATTTAAATTGTTCCATTCGACGCCGGCGTCCCGACGCTCTCCCACTGTTTATAAAACGGCGTGTAACAGCGCGAGAACAACACGCGCGACATGTATGCAGAGGCGTGCAATTTCCATACGTTCTCAGATATTCCCGGAACCGGCAAACCCCGAACTCGACAAGACGCGATCGCGGGGAGGGGGTGGGTGGGAGGGGTAGGATACAACGGGAAGAGTAGGGGGGGGGGAAAAAACACGGATGAATCTTATCCACTGCCAAGTTTAATCGGCGCCGTGGTATCTCGCGGGGGCGGCATTCGATTCCCGGATTCCCGGCTAGGGATGCTGCGTGGTGCGAGGAGCGAGAGCGAGAGAGAGAGAGACAGAGGGACAGAGGGAGGAAGAGGAACGGGGAAAAGGAAGGGAAGGAGAGCGGGAGTGTGCGCGACGGCGACGTCGACGACGACGACGATGACGACGACGACGGCGACGACGACGACGACGGCGACGGCGAGGACGATAAAACGAAGAGAGATACACGCTTGCGCCAGGGATATCACCCTCGTCTACTCGCACAGTGCGCCCTCCCCGCCCCCCTCCCCCCGTCCCTCGCCGGGGTGCGAGGGGACGAGGGCGCGGGGCGTGTGCGAGGATAGATGGCAGGGCGTCTCTCCCGGGCCGCGCGCAGGGCCGCGCAAAGCCGCGTTGCACGCACTGTCAGTCCTCCTCAGTTTCGCTCGGCTGTCCGTGCAACGGGGTTGCAGCCCCTCGGCAGGCCGATCCCGATCAACGTCGTCGCGCGCGCGAGAAGGGAGAGGACGTGCTCTGCCGCGCGTGTCGATCGTCGCCGCGCGCGCGACCGGCCGCTCTCGATCGGCGCCGCGACGCGCCGCGACGCGACGCGCCGCGAGACACGCCTGCCGCCGACAGGAAGCGGGATCGCGGCGCGGTTTCCACGGCGACGTGTCCCCCGCGGAGAGACGGGGGACGGGAAACCGATCTCCGGTCTTTCGCGCCGGCAAAACAGCCGGGATGGAACGTGCGAGGGGGAGACGGTGAAGATCGCTCCGGGTTTCGCATCTCCGGGATACGGCGCGCGCGGCGAGTGACTCGGGCCGCGCGCGAGTATAAGACGCCTCTCGCCGGCCGAGGGTGAGACGGTGGATCCGGAGGGATGCACGTATCACGCCCCGCCGGCGCTTTTCAATTACGCGAATCTAGATCACGAAGCTGTTAGCGAATTAAGCGGGCTTGAGAGAGCGGACTATGCGGGCCGGAGCGCGAGATGGAGGAAAGAGGGAAATAACGATCGTGCCGACGCGATGAGAGATCGTGCCGGGGGTAGCAGACTCGCGGGTATACGAAGCCAGCGAGCAGGCGGCAGGAACGGTGCCATGGAGCGCGGAGGCGAGAAAAACCGGAAACCGTCGATTTATCCGATAAACTCGCCCTGATTCCCTCTCTCTCTCTCCCGCCGCGGCGCACGTTGCGTTGCCAATTTCGGCGTGCGAACGGACTCGGGGACTCTCGCGGGCCCCGTTTCACCAGCCCCCGCGGCAATCGCTCACGACCCCCTCCTCGGGGGGGGAGGGGGGGAGGGGAAGATCGGAGATCGGAGGGAGACTCACGGCGCACGAGGAGGAGGATCGACCCGGCACTCCGAGGCGACTATGACAGACAAAAAATGAGGTGTCTAATCCTGACCCTCGGCCTCCTGGTTTCGGGTGAGTCGTAACAAATCGCGCGACCGGTCGTCGATCACCCCCCGGACGCCGGCCAGAAATCACCGTGTGTCCCGCTGACGGGCCGCGAACCGCGCCGCAGCGCGGAAACGGCGTTCCGCGTTTAGCCAAATAACGCGGCCGTAAACATTCAACAGCCGCGGGAACAAGCGCGAAACGTTAAGTACATTAGCGCGACCGCGAAACATTATATAAATATCCGCTAACGCGATTTCGTCAATTTTGTCACGCAAACGAAATCGTTTCCGCTCATTAGCCGCCGTGTATTAACCAACTCCATTCGTGCAATTTGCGTTGGCCCGAAAAAAAACGTGCGAAGAATTCTCTCCGCTTTTATCAGCTCCACTTTTTCCGCGAGCGCACCCTCTTTTTCTCCCTTTCTCCCTCTCTCTCTCTCTCCCTCTCCCTCTCTCTCCCTCCTTCTCTTTTTGCGCGCAGTTTCGTGATAATCCCGAGAAGAATGATACGTCGGAAGCTTCAAGATTCGAAATTCGTACGTCGTTAGCTTCGCCCGAGAGATGTATCGCGTTTAACGACGAGTAAGCGCATCGCCGCGGCGAAATTAACGCCGGGGAGCGATCGATAAATTCCGTGAAATGACCGCTTTATTTTCTAATAACTGCGACGATGTATTGAAAAATTTCCTCCCTTTGGCACGAAAGCGCGCGCTCTCCTCGTACGAATGGCCGTTCACCCGACAAACGGTCCTTGACCGTTGCGCCCGCCGTACGATCGCTCCGGCGTGCGTTTTCGATTATATGCGCGCGATGCGGCAGAATTAGATTTACGATTGTAGCGCGGGGGCTTTAACCATCCCTCTTCTTTTCAGAGCGGCTTAATGACATTTACGCGGGGCACGTACGATTCCGGGCGGCGTTGTAACCGTCTTTTTACCGTCTCGCGATGCGCGCGGAATATTATCATTCGCCCCCGGTGAGGCGCCGCGGCCGCGCGATGTAATATCGTGTACCCGGCCCGACGGTATATTACAGTGGGTTTAGTTAGCTCCCAAACTTAGTCTTAACTTCGTAATAACTTAGTATTAACATTAGCCTTGTCCAAAATACGGGTTTATGCAGCAATTAACCCGAAAGTCCTGTGTACCGCGGTCTAACGAGACGAGATATAATATCGCGACGTTAACGGCACGCTACTGTTAATAAAAGGGCGATCCAGGCCGCTGGCGCGAGCCGCGATCTTCTGTACCGCGTGCGTCGCGGCGAGTAGACTTTTTCGGGTCTTTTTCACCCCGCCCCTTCCTCCTTTGGCCAGCGCGACAACTCGCATTTTTCCTCGCTAGATATCTATCCGCCCCAAATGTCCGTTCGTTTTGCCTCGTTGCTGGAGACGAGAAGGAAAAAAAAAGCGAAAAGGTTACGTGTCAATTGACTCGTATTCTCGTCCAATTTATACTTTTCCACGGGTTTACATTAGTAAAAAGGAGGACTGGGAAATTCTATTTCCATCGCTTCAATGGCTTTAATGATTTTGGCCTTTAGCTTAACTTGACCCTTACTGTTCGCTCGACGGTAAGCGGCGCCATGGAGGCCGCTATATTGAATTTTTACTCTTTAAACAGAAATTTTATCGACCAACGGCGAGCGCCGTTTAATTAACACGCATTCGCGCAAAAATATTTATATGCACTCTTGTTTTTTTTTCCTATTTTTGTTTGGTTTTTTCGCCGGCCAGTAGCGTGTAAAGAATTAACAATTTTGGAAATTTGAAAAAATAAAACATGATACGTTTTTATTCAATTTCTCTCTATTAGCAAATAGATAAATATTTATTGTGCCTGGGCGGGACTGGACGGGGTAAAATTGGAAGCGTCTGCAAATAAGAGAATTATAAAATTAATGAAAAATTGCGCGTGCCACGAGACAATTTTTCGCACTCGGTGCGGGATCGCAAATCGATCGAGCGCGCGCGAGAATCGAGTTCGCGGGTGCCGAGATTCACTTTGAGAGGTAAGATTTTTCTCAAGACCGCTAATAGAACTAGGTTGAAATATTCTTCGGGTCGGTGTAAACGTTCTTAAGGCGCATCTAACATTGATAGTTTTTGCCCCCCCGGCTTAAGGTTAAATTAGGATTGCGCTTTAAGGGACCGCGGGAGCGAATAAACGTGCAATTAGCAGTTCCCTACCGCTGCTGCTGCTACAAAATGGATTGAATTTATACAACAGCGCGATAAGGAACCAAGCGAAGAAATTAAATCCACTGTACATTCTTGTAAAAGTGACTGGAGAGCATAAAGGAAATAGCCGAGGGGCGGAAATTCTGATATGTATTTTAACGTGGGTTATGCGGGGCCGCGCAAATCCCACGGAAGCGCGGGAAGGTAAATATTTACTCGCGCAACTACCTGCATCCCTTTAAAGTTGCCCTTTTGGAACCGCATTTATTTTTAACGCGCGATTTTCTGACGACGACGGCGATCTTATCGGATCCGAAAGACCGCGTCGCCGGGTGTCGCGAAGCGGAATTTTCCCCCGCTGCGCAAGAAAGCGCCCGCCATCCCGTTATATTCCGTTTCTTATGTACGTGCAATATCGTTTGTTGCATATAAAAAGTCCTCTCCCGCGCGTTATTACATATTTTCGCTATTAATGGAGGCTCGGGGATGTCCCCAAGTTGGCGTTCGCGCACAAACGGCCGCGCGCGCACGTATATATTTACGAAAACGTCCGACCGAAGTTACGAACTTTCCCGTGTGAACGACGAACGATTCACAACGCCGGAGAACTTGATAAACGGGTAATGGAGAGTTCGCGCTGTGTGTCGATTTACGATACGGCTATTTTATGGCTATTTATGAATCTAATACGAGGACATTATGTCGCCGGCTATGTTGAATTGGCACACAATTGTATTTACGGACAAATGTTGGATGCACGCGATATCCAGCGTTTCGTGTGAACGCGCGCTAATTCCGCTGAAAAATAAATACGCGTTTGTCAATCATTCGAGGTGCGTGCGAAAAATATTTTCTTAAATTCTAAAGGGAATAAAATTTCCCGCGGTGTCGCGGAAAATTCAAGGAGGGAATTTTTTACCGAGGGAACGGAGCTACGCGGGAAAACTTGAAGTACGAAGCGTGGCAGACAGCGTGTTCTCTGGATAGAAAGAATAAATCTTTTTATGGAAATTTGAATGCGAAATAATTTTCTCGAAGGGGAAAACGAGATAAAACCAAATTGATTATAAAACATCGCGATGAAGAAACCAGAAGTTCCTGAATTATGCAAATGAAAGGTTTTGCGCGATTTAAATCTCAGAGACGCAAACAGCTAGTGAAACATTATTCGTCGCGCGACTTGAGTTTATTTCGAAAAGGATTTCAACTTTTTTTCTCTCCCCCCCCCGACCCTTTATCTCGGGTATTGAATATTGAAGTTTGAGACATTGTGGCGGAGATAGCAACCTCCGACGTGTTCGCCAGGACGAGATCGAATCTTTAACAAGGAGTAACGTCGGCAGAAATGATGCCCAGATTTGCCGCTAATTGCTGATACTGAAAGATTCTATAAAGAAAAAAATGGGTAGACAAAGAAACTTGGCGAACATACGATTCTCGAATGCACCATTTTTCTGACGTTGGCCGTGGAAAGTAGATACTTTCAATCGAACGTTCTCTACCCGATATAAATTGTTCCCCTTCCAGTCCTTAAGAAGGATGTCCTCATTTTTTTTTAACAGCCACGATCTTGCAGGTTCTGCCTTCCCTTTGGTCGCAAGGAAAGACCTTCCGTTACAAAAATTCCCCCGGCAATAGCGCCGAGAAGTCATAAGAGAGATATTGAATAAAAAAGCGAGATTCCACCTTTATATTATTATGTTATTTTACGACTGTATTTCACTTGAAAATGTACTCGCCGGAGGAGAGCCGGAGTGGTTAATTAAATTTGTCAGCGGTTTTTACAGGACGATCATCGTACGATCTCTGAAGGATTTATAAAAACTTATTCAGTGATATGCAAAACTGTTATGCAAAACGCGGATAATTTGTACGTCCGCGCTACGTGCGCAACGTGTGTTTAATTTTATGTTATTCCGCAACAGAGAGCGGGCAATAAGAATTAAACGATACCCGTTAACCCGGGAATAATACGACTTTTTTTTTCCTACGACCTAAACTACTTGGCGGGATGTACTTTCATAAATCATTGTTATTTATCACGCACCGCGTATAACGACGCGGGGGCGATACGAAAATTCACGGGAGCGTCGGGAAAAAAAGGGGGTATATTTAAAGAAGGTCTGAAAAATAAGGGCGCCTTTTGGAACGTTTACCCGGGGGAATTGTCTTTCTCACTTTCCGGGGGGGTTTTTTTTTTTTCTTTCCCACCGCCGGAGAGCATTACAGAGACACGGCATAATATCCCGGCCCCGAAGTTAATTCGCCTAATTGACTGGAAAACGAAACTTTTTTTATCGGTAATTCCGACGCGCTCGAACGGAACGGCGATAATATATCTTCCCCGATCTTCTCGAGCGGTGTAAATTACATGCCGCGCGACCGTTGCCGCGTTAAAAGGATTCCGCCCGGTCCCGATACAAGCGTTGTATTTGGTTAAAGTGCGAGGACCTACCCGCTGCACGGCCGATCACAGGACACACGAGAGCCGTGCATCGGAGCCGCTCGATCGAGGGCCGTACTTTGATGTCTCGGCCTCTCGCAACGTGACAGCCCTCGTCGGGAAAACGACGACACTGCACTGCCGAGTACGGAATTTAGGCGACCGAACGGTAAGTGTTTCGGGAGTGTCTCGCCGCTGCGAGAGAAGCGTGGTTCTTTTTTTATTTTACCTTCGCAGAAAATATTACGCGATATCGATGGATTAGAGTCTCCGATATCGAGTACGATTAAATAGATGGAAGTTATTTCAATTAAAGTATACGACTTGATCGTCGGAATCAATGCTACCTTCTCCGGATTAAACTCCGCGAAAGAGAGATTAAGATGGAAGAGATGTAGCGTAATAGTATTCTATTATATCCCAATAACGACCGAACTGCCGTTTTATAAAGCCAATATAGGTTTATATTCTAATAACGTTATCCCGCTTATTATAATAACCAATAAAGTTTAATATAATACGATTTTAGTAATATCGACGAAGAACACAAGTAAGTAACGGTAAAGAGAGCCGTTGTTCAAGTTTATTTTAAGCTCTTTACGAGGAAATTTGAATGAAGTTTGAGAAAATATCCCTCTAGCGCGCTGAAATAGGTCCATTCGATATCGAAGACATTTTAGCCTCGTAATATGCATTGTAGCTTGCGAGTGCCACTTTTATCTCCGGTATATCGCGCGAAATCGGCTGTCAGTGCTAAAAATATTTCTCGCTGGCGATACTCCTGCGCCGGAAACTTTTTACCAGAAATGGATCGACTCAAAATAACACCGGCTTCAGAGAGCTTTTATTAAAAGCCTGTCTATTAGGTGACGCAACTTATTTCTCGCGCGTGTATTGTGACTGATACCCGTCGAGAATTCTCAAACTCTTTAAGGCGATTTTACGCGACTGTTTGGTACCAAAGTATACCAGGGTGTACACTCGGCGTCGTGAAGAAAGACGCTAGAGATACCCAATAGGAGAATCTATTTCGATACGCCCGCCTAGTGAGAGGAAGGTCCAGGTTCACCCTGGACTGAGGTGATATTTTTCGCAATAGATTTAAAAATATGAAATATTTTCACACCAACACCAACCTGTCACGGTTCTTTATCCCTTCGCATTTGTGTTTATCACATTTACGAATTTTATTAATTTGTTAAAATTTTTTTTAATAATAAAATGGATTTTTCCACCGGAATATATTCAACTTGACGGCTATTTTCAGGTGTAAAAACATTCCGCGACGCCAAGAGTACAGTGGGAATCACGCGAATTTGTGTACAACATCGACGCATTTTTACATTTTGCGTGTATAACACACGTGGAAAATGTACACGTGTTTTACCTGTGCCTGAATTCATATGGGCAGGTATCAGAGTGATTCCTAGTGTACGCTCTGGTGCACTTTAGTACACGTACCAAACAATCGCTAAAAATCGCCTTTAGGCCCAGTTACACAGTGGCTGGTTAGCTTAACTGGTTGTTAACTAGCCACTGTGAAACTGGGCCTTAGAGTGCAATATTAGGTTGTTGCATATCGAATGGCCGTTTTTGAAATGAAACTTTCACCAATTGCTTTCAAACGCCGAGTCACTGTTGAATAGCGGACGCCTAGTTGTTCCGCAATATCTCTAACAGTTCGACGTCCATCGGATTCCACCGAAACCCTTAGCACGTCGTTGTCTATGGCCGTATCTCGGTGACCACGAGGCTCATTTTCAAACCAGCGCCGAGGGGGAAACCGCTGAGGGCATTGTGGTGTACAGATTTGCGGCATTACTGGGCATTACTAGGCATTTTTGGGGCATTAGCTGGGGCATTGTAAAGATAAAATAAGATAAAATAAGATCAAACAAGACAAATAAGATAGTAAAATAAAGTAATGCCCACTGGGCATTGGTGTACAAGATTTTGGTCAGCGGTTTCCCCCTCGACCCATAGTTCGTTCACTAGTGCTTTCTCCAAATGCCGTGATATTTCTGGTTCCTTTTGCTGCATTATGTCCAAGTTTAAACTCGTAAAAAAATTATCCGTATTTGGCTCCTATTCATCATTTCAAGTTGGCTGGTCATAAAAACGTCGACAGTGATCAATAAAAAACTGAAATACGGGTTTTGAAGATCAGGGTTGTCACTTTAATTCGACATGTAACGACTGTCTCGTTCTGCACGTTTTTTTACGTGTTAAAACGTCACTAATGTTAACAATCTGCGAAAACGGCCATTTCGTGTGCAACAGCCTAATAAAATACGCGCGCGAGACGATTCGAATTGCCGCGGCGGATAAATATGTATACGCGCGTGTTATCTGCGACATCGCGGTGCCATTTGCAGAAGAAGTTTATGAATAAATTACGAAGAAAGTAGTCGGGGGGGAAAGCGCGTGGCTATCGACGCCGCGAAACTTATACAAGCTGCGAAACGCGATTAGTCGCAAACTTGACTCCGACGCAGTTCCGCATCCCTGTTCCGCGACGTTTTTCGCCGCGCGTATAATAAAGTTGGCCCATCACGAGACACTTATATAAAGAACACCGCGAGGATTGGACAAGACTCGCAGTACCTCGTCCTTTTTCGCTCCGCGTCCAACTCGCGCGCCAGTACGCCCGGGAGGGATTTCAACAAAAAAGTCCGCGTCCCCCGTCGCATCTTTCGCGTCTGAGTTTTTGCTCGCCCGCTGCTACGTCTCTCTATTTCGTTAACACCGTTTTTTGTATTTTACCGGCGCAATCTGTCTCTTTGCCGCGTCCATGCGTACGTAGTTGAATTACGTTTTCACAGAGCAATGTAAATTTTACGCGTTTCGGCCTCGCACGAGGAGGCCCTTTAATTTTAATGGGAAACCCGTTATTCCAAATGACGAATTAATATGTGGATCGTATCGCGGAAATTCGACATGTAGAGCCGAATCTGGGGAAGAAAAATATCAGTTTTTTTTATGGCAAAATGTGCACCTATATTTTGTGTGTTTTTTTACAAAACATAATACGTTTTCCACGTTCCTATAAAATTACATTAATTTCAGCGAGAGAAATTTTATTAGCGTAAGCAAAAGAACGTAATGCGAGAATGTTCGTGCTTGAAATTGTTTGTGGGGTGGAAAAAAAGAGCTACGTGTTCCCCGCGTCACACAGTGCTCTCGATGTCGGCGTAACATTTGGCTATTATTCGACAAGACTAATACCTTCGTCCATTATTGCGCGCATCATTGTTATTGTATGTCGCGGCAGGTCGGTTAATACATCAGAGAGGTACGCGCCCGGTGTACGTGCGCTATCGGAAAAATTGTGCACTTACGGGCACTGTCATATTGGAAGTCGACGCACGTATTGACGTTTTCAAAATGGAATTTCGCGGGCTTAAGACTCTTCGTTCGTGACTTTTCGCGCGCGCGCGCTTAGCCAATTGTACACGGTAATCACGGCGGTGAAAAGGAACCGTGGATGCGAGAGGGAAGTTGGGATTTTCCGATGGCCGGCCCAAGTATTCGAAAGCGCGCAAGTTTGACGTAAATTGATAAATCGATGTTTCCACTTTAGCCCGTAAGCATATTCCGCTCGCGGAGCCGGCGCGTACCATATACACAAACGCTCCTCCCGTGTCTCGCGCAATCGCGGGAGATTTCTAATGTTGCTGCGCGCGGGAGGATAAATATAGGTCGACAAGCGCGCGAGCAAATTCGTGTTATTGAGGCGGGACGACAAAGGGCGCTAAACTATTTTAATTACAGACGGTATAAGCTAAACTATGCGGTATGATTGCCTCGCCCCGTATCCATATCCAAAAGTAACACAAACGCACTTGGTACGCTTCTATTTGCTCTCGCGACCGGCGGCGTTTAAAAAGCAGATTGAACGTCGTTTTGTTTACCTTCGGGGCTTTCGAACGGGGTTCGAAACGAAGGAGGGGGGGAGGGGTCGGGTTGGACGGTAACAGATGGGTTTCGAAAAGCTTTTCAAACAAAGCGTCTATTACCGTCATTTCGTCGAACTCCCTTGCATTTGTAAAATTTAATTAACGGTCGTAAAATGTAACAATTCAGGCCGGATTCGTGCACTAATGATTATTTAATCGCGCCCTTCTCGACGCGGCCGGCGGACCTTCGGCAAATGATGTCTCGACTTTGCCGCGCGTAGGCGCGCTTGCCGCAGAGCCACGGGCGAAAACGTTACTTTCGGATATTTCCATTCTCTCTATCAAAGCTAAAATCGAACATGCGCTTTTCATTAGCACCAGATCGTAACCGCGCGTCATATGAACAAAAGCCACGTCACGGTTCTTCTGCCCGCGCCTTTTCCCCCTTTTCACATCAGCCTCGGTACGCCGAGCACGCGTGCAAAACTCAATGAAGCCGTTTTTATGGGAGAATACGCATTTTTGTCCTACGTGTTCGGCATTTCACATCCCCGCTAATATAATATCGCTCAAACGCACGCCGCGTTTATGTAAATCAATCACGTCGATCCATTTCTACGCGGCGCGGAACATAAGACACGGATCTGTCGAATGTTATCGATGAACAAAAAATAGAACGGGGAAAAAAGAGAAATATTGAAAAAAAAAACTGAATTACATATCGAGATCGGGGGATTGAAATGAATACGCAATTTTCGCGATTCGGAACGGTTTTGCGCGCTATGGGGGGAAAAAAAAGAGAGCGAAACACTATCCGTTATCAGATGGACGCGGGGATCATTTTTACACGTCCGCGGTATCGAAATCCGCTTAAATTATACGGGGCGCAATCCCTCGATCGAAGCTGCGGACTCGGCAGATCCGGCGGACACGGCGGGTCCGCCGCGCGCGCGGAAGGCGGACATCTGCGGACGCGCGGAGTGGATGTCGCGACGTGTCTCCCTTCTTGTTCTTTTTTTTCCAGGTGTCGTGGGTGAGACACAGGGATATCCATCTTCTCACCGTGGGCGTGGAGACGTACACGTCCGACCAGAGATTCGTCGCGTCGCATTTTCCTCACACGGAGGACTGGACGCTACAAGTGAAATACCCTCAACGACGAGATTCCGGCACATACGAGTGTCAAGTGTCCACGACGCCGCCCATAGGTCATTCCATGCACCTCTCCGTCGTCGGTTAGTGCCGCTTCCGCTTCCCGCGTCACCCCCCTTTCTTCTCGTTTTTCCGCGCGGCCGTGGGCAGCCACCCCGGGTGGGCCGCGCGGGCGCTGATTTCGCCGCCGCGCGGAAATTCACGGGCCATATCTATTTGCCGGCGGAAGCTTAATGTGCGCCGCACGTGCATCGCGATACACCCACGGCATTTGCCGCGCGACGCGACGGGCCCGTTGATTTATCGCGCGACTTAATTCACGTCGAGTGGCTCAATGGGGGCCACACGCGGCCCCAAGCACGGTGTAAAGATACAAGGTGAGGCAAAATCCGGTGGACGCGCAGTGCCGAACAATCAGAAGTGGCCCTAACTACCGAATCGACCAATCAGAAATTTGCCCTGACCTTCGAATTGCAAATCATTGCGGTTGAATGCAGGAAGAACCCGTGAACAATTTGCCCCAACAATTGGCTAAATGCGCAGTGTTTCACCTTGTATCTTTACACCATGGCCCCAAGTGTTTCGCCGCCGCGTTTCCGCACGCGCGTCGCGCTTTATCGGCGAGCCGACCCGGAAGAATCCAATTATCAGATGGACACGCTCGAGAGGCGTACGTTTTATGAAATCGGGACGTCGACTTTCCTCCTGTCTTTAAGATTTTTGACCGGTCCCGTGGCAGTTGGCACGCCGAGATCCCCCACAGACGGACTGCAATCTCCGCGAACTTGGCGAATTATAAATTTCCGTCATTATGCATGCTCGCTCATTCCGCGGATAGCGACTTTAATCAGCTTCGTGACTCCGAACTTAATATTAACTTGATATTAATAATCTGGCGTTAATATCAGTCCCCTACCACCCCGAAATTTATGTAGAAATTCATTTGGCGGTTTTCAATACTATGTCGAAACTATCTCAGATAAAAGTGGATTGTTATATACCGCGATAAACTTGCTTTCGCTGGTTGCAGCGTTTAGCGATAAAAAAGTAGAGCGGGAAACGAAATAATAATAATAATTCGAAATAATTCATTGAGGCGTAGAGACCTTTTCAGATTTTTCAGTTGTTCAGTAATGCATTAATGATTCGTTTCGTTAATATTTACGGTTTATTACCGTTTGATATTTATATTTGTTGTCCTGCATGACCGATAATATCGGGTGTTTCTAAATGCAGTCATGACAAACGCGAGAAGCAAACAAATACCAAACGTAATGTGCTTAATGCAATTATAGTTCGTTATTATTCGCAAATTATTAATATTGCTTTTTCAATTTATTTTCTTTTAATCTTTACGATCGATCATTGTTAAAAACGATATCACTATTTTTTCATTTTTTTTCTTAAATTAAATACTATAGCGAAAAAAAATATAATTACTAAAGAAAGTAGAAAATAAATTGAATCAGAAATTAATTAACAAGTATGCGCAGTATGTGTAATTCCATAATTCTTGTCGCTTACATTTCCGTTTGAATCCACTGCTAACTTTCATCAGCTTATTATTCCAGTTCTACTTTAGAGAAAAAAATGTTACAAAGAAAACAAAGGTTAATAGTTGATCCGATAACAAATTTAATTGCAGGTATTAAATTCTTTATGAATATTCAATATCCTTTTTAGCCTGAATTAACATTTCCCTTTGTGATTTTTGTGAAGTTCGCATTTGCCAAATTACAATTTTCTCTAATTACGAAATTTCACGAAAATTTAAAATTTAAAATCCTTGTGACATAATTATTCGCGAACAAAGATAAATATAAAATCTCTTTTATAAATCGCTGTTGCGGCGCCCCGAAATAAAATTAATCTATTAAAAAGGATAAATGTCAATTGAATGTCACCGAAGTGTCACAAATATAAATTTCCGCGCAGAATGTCGATAGGGGATTTTTTATTCGCCAACACAAACTGTATTAATATTAATTCAATTAATATTAAATTTCCGCGTGAGATAAAGATCGGATTTTTTCCCGTGGTCGGATAACGTAATTTTTAAATAAATACTTTGATGTTATATACAATATATCCTGTCGTTACCATCCACAGAGCCCGTGACGATGATCGTCGGGGAACCGGAAATGTACATAAACAAGGATAGCACCATGAACTTGACCTGCGTCGTGCGGCATAGTCCCGAGCCACCCTTGACCATTTATTGGACACACGACCGAGAGGTACGTTGTCACCCAACGCGACTTACTTGACGAAAATGAGAGTGAGGGGGGTCCGGTGAATTCATTTTCAATCGTCATTTCTAACTAGGACGGAAAAAGGCGGTAACTTAAATCCGCCGTGCTCCCCGCGCTGCCATAATTCTTCGCCCTCTTGCCATTCGTACGCTCACACTCGATCTACTCTGTCTTCACTCTATCATGCGACCCTTCTTAAGCAAGTTTTTAAATCTAAGATTCTAAGTTTGTCGAGAAGAGAGACGGAGACCGACAGACAGAGAGCGAGAGGGTAAGAGAGGAGGGAAAACTTTTAATTTTAATATTACCTGTTCGGAGCGTTTCTCCTTGTTGAATTTTTAAATGTACGAACGCCGCGGAAACTCCGTCTCATTTCTCAACTTCAAAATCTATCTCTCCTACCCTGCTTTCCTTCTCTTTCCCTTTGCCGCGTAAAGTTTTTCTAGTGTGCCTTGCCGACCCTGGTCGCATTATACAACACCCATTTCCACGACTGTGTTTCCCTGTCTCTGTACCTCGCGGGCTTCTCTACTTAGGTCTTATATTCTTACTTTCGAACTCCACCGACAGTTCATCGCATTAACTCCCTCGCCGTCCTCGCGGTATCCTCCCGTTTCGTAATGTTCCTCGCCAATATCGCACGCCGTACCTTCGTTTCTCGTTATTACCCATTCTCAGTTCACTCCATCAATATTTCCTCGCAATTCGCAGCGCAGTTCTCTCAGATAAATGTGCACCGTCTAATTTAATTGTCACAGTTTGTTGCACCCACTCCCTTATTCAGTTCTTAACGTATCGTTCATCGCGACTCGTTTATCATTATTCATTCCGTAATGCACGTAACTTATTCACGTTACTTATTTAAGTTACTTATATTACGAAACGATGAACACAAGGCGCGATGAACGGTGCATTACCAAGTGAATAAGAAACTCGCGCAATAAATAGATAGCCAGTTAATAATCACCAGGCAGCACAGAGAATCCAAGAGGCGGTCTTTTTAAATTCGCGAATTGTAAAATGAATTATTTTTCCACCCCATTTCCGTTCTAAGAACATTCGTGAGAGTTCGATAAGAATTCGCTTCTATGTCACCAATTCTTTTCCGGGTATAAAAGGAATTCTTTTTATATCCCACAAGAATTCTCTGTAAGAGTTCATTTTGACTTGCATGGATTATGCTGATTCGTCAAGAATTGTAAAAAGTGAATCTTTTTTCAGTCTATAACAATCACCTGTGCTCTTTGAGCAAGCGATATAGGTAACTTATTCGAGTTACCGATGTCACTGTTGTTTATTAAAACAGGGAACTTGTGGTCAACCCAACTGGCACGTTCCTTTGTTTAGCAAATACAACGTTTCGACCCTATTTTGGGGTCCTTTTCAGGTTATACCGCAAATCGACAAACATACGAAATGAAATAATACATTAGTTATCAAGTAAAACGGAGGGAAGTAAATTAACAAACCCAAGTGAGTCGACGTTGTCCATAAGACAGAGTCACATTATAAACATTCAACAGCAACTTATTGACGCCAGTCGAGAAATTGAGAGTTAAAATAAGTGTGGAAACGACCCTACTGGCACTTCTTTACTGTATTATAAATATCTAAATTTTTAGCCAAGTCCTTTAAGATATAAATCAATTTGAACCGTAAAAGCCATTTAGGGCCTGGCACAGGTGGAGGTGGCCAATTAAATTACTAAGTGAATCCATATACTGTCTTTCCAACCTGCCCTGCGCGCCCTTAAATACCGGGCATATAACACAGGTTTCCGTTAGGTGGAATCATTGTCGTCAGTGAATCGTTCGAATCTCGGCTGAGGTGATATTTTTTAATTCAAGACCCTTAAATACAAGAATTGACTATAAGCAAAATTCGCTATTGATATCATTTCTATGTTCGTTAATACGGGTCTGTAGGTGTCGTTTACTTTGTCCAGCATAAGAAGCTTCACAATTATCGCATTTAACACAGCAGGTAGTTATTTATCTACAATAAATTTGTAGACTCACGTTTTCCTCCCCTCTCGACGGCTCTCGTCGTTTCGTAGCGGGCGGATCTCTTCTCCTTCCTTTCGTCCTGTCTCCTACTCTTGCCCCCCTCATTTGAAGATTTCTTTTCGCAATCCGATTTCTGCAACCCTCGTACGCGGGCCCCGAGTCCTTTTCCGTTTCTTCTGTCACTTTATTTCTTAGTCTATCTCCCAGAATTTGACTTTCCTCCTTTCCGAACCCATCTGTTCCGTCGTCCTCGATCCCGTAAGCTTCCGCGTCGCGCACGCGGAGGAGGGGGAGGAGGGGATTTCCCTACGTGTACTTGTTCCGTCTCATCATTCGCTTTCTATCCCGTCCCGGCGCTATTGCATCCGTTGCTAGCCAATCCTGCCCCGATATCCCGAACCCCCGGGTGAAAAATTTGACGTGCAGTATTTCCTGCTGGCCCCATATTTCCCGTCTGTCTCGTCGCACACGCATTCCTTTCCATCCCTACTGACCTAGTTAACCCCGCCGTTCGCAGGGAGAATTATGCATGTTGAGATACGCGGTGTGTAACATAAATATCGGTAAACGCGCAATCACGCCACCGCCGTCTCGTCGATACAATTGATTTCGGGCATCTGACCTCTCTATTAACTTTGTCACGCGCAATTGCACGATGTTTACCGTCGCGATATACGTTGCACGCGCTGCCAACAAAATTAAGATACGCCCGTATAAATGCCGAGTGCACCGAAGTCTTTGCTACGCGCGGAGAAATAAAATTGCCGGGTCCACGGTGACCCGCGGAAACGGCAGTTGTGGTCGACTCTGAGTTTTCACTCGCAGCAACGCTCCCCATCGACCCGAGCACTCAGTATTATCCGCACTGTAATCCGCTTTGTGTATCCTCATTATAAAAAGGTTTACATAAGATCGCTATTAATTCAACAGAGTTACATCGCAGAAAAAAAGCTCGGTTTGGATTAGCATTTGCCTTCCAAATGCATCGTCCATAGCAAACATTTCAGTTCGAAAATATCATGCCGGGGTTTATCAGATCGCAAAGATTCCGCGGACACGCAGAGATTATTTTCAACTAAATCAAACGCGTCGCATGACTTAGTCCTCCCAAGAGGAGATTAGATTCATCAATATTTTTCGCAAACGACGAGTATAGTCCTAAGAAGTTAAAGAAAAGGGGGCATTGCGTTACGAAACGTGAAAATAAATACGGTACGCAGGAGGAGCACAAAAACGCGGGCTTTAATGCCGATTAATGAGCATTACCACCAATTTGATGATTTGGATTTTCAGAATTTTAGACATTTTGTGGCCCGCCGACAGCATTTAGCCGTCGTGCCATTGTTGCATTGGAATGTGCTGACGGCATGCGGCCGTAGTAGCGGCATGTAAACGCTGATGCATGTTGGATCGGCTTATGAAACGAGAATATGTTAATATTATCTGTTGAACGCTAAAACTTTAATTAAACAAGGGTTTAATGGAAGCCAAATGCGTTTTCGCTTTTGGGAGTCGCGGAAAAATTGGCAAAAGCGAGATGCTGTTGAAAAAAATGCTTCCTCAGTCTGACTAAACAAAAATGGGACGCGCGTAGGTAATGACATTCAAAATGTCGCGTCCGCGTGTATACGCGTGTACATACGCGGGCGGAACAGCAGAAATGCATGGCAGAAATAATTATTTAAACAGTTATTAATTCCGTTGATATCGAAACTTAATTAAACGCGGGGAGCCTTTCATAATTGATTTTTCGTTTTGATTCAGAAAAAGCTCGCGTATGTGCGTGATTTGTGTGGCAAAGGTGAATGCAAATAAAATATTTTGCTTTCATGTACAAACTAAAAGCAAATGTCATATTTTTCGTTTTCGGTCTCCGGAATGCATACGCGATCTTTGAAATTTTTACGTGAAACCTCGCTAGACGGAATTTTTGATACTCGAAATCGTTGTGGAGATATTCGCGCGTGATATTACATTTTCCGCGGATCCGAATACGTACGTGAATCGCTATTTGTTTAATATGGAAGGCGCAAGTTGCGATCTATTGTAGGCTCTCGATAAATATGCATTACGTGAATATATGACGTTGCGGATAATAACGGCGGGATTCGTTGCGAAATGTAATAAGCGCGGCATGATTCAATCAAAATCCATTTCTGGGCGGACGTGAGGAGAATAAAAAGCGATCCCTTAAATTTAAGAGGCGGAATAAATGAGCGATGTGGACGGGAGTTAAAATTAAAACAGACAGAATATAAGCGCAGATAAGGAAATTCCCATATACCGTGACGCGAAACTGCACGGGAAAGAAAATAATATACAAAAAGACCCCGACATTTAATATAAAACAGACGAGTTGCCCCGTGGTGCAGTTGTATTTTTGGATTTATAGTACTTCTCGGCCGCGCGCGTCTCTCACTCACTCGAAAAGTTTTTGAAATCCATTCTGCAGCAGAGTGACACACGATTCGTTTATTTTGCAAGTTCAGCTGTAAGTTCAGCTTTGAAACATTATGAGTTTCAACGGAAACACGGACATAAACTGATAACTGCTGTATCGGTTTCACCAAAGTTTTCAAAACTGGATTCCCACCAGTTTACAAACCGGGAAACGCGATCGAGCCGGGGCTATGGGAGAGAGAGCTGCCGGTTCTTTTTTTTTTCAAATCCGCGCGTACAGTAGACGTGTACGTCCGAAATACGTAAACGCGATAAACACGCGCCGCCGGGCGTGCGCGACGGAAAAAGACGCGCTTATTTAAATAAATTAATAGCGAGGAGATTTCTCAACGAAACTTACTATTTACTGCGACAGCCGGAATGAATTTCCACCAAGCTTCCCGGGACAAAGACGGAACTAAAGATTTATCTCCCGCGTTCGCGTCCAGGACGACGGGGAGATAGAGGGGGGGGGGAGAGAAAAAATTCAGCTTCACTTTATTACGGCAACTTTGTTGTCCCTCTGCGCGGAGCGTCAGGCCGATCACCGGTGTGTTCGCGCGCTCGCGTAGGCTCCTTTTTCACCCGGCGGAGGATTAATTAATCATCCAATTAATTGATCCTTTCGCTCGGTTTGTCGAGCACTATTGTATAAGCGTTACAGGAAGAGATTTAATTAGAATAACACTTTTTTTCCCCCCCCCCCCTCCCGGGACCTGCACGTGACAGGTGATCAATTATGACAGCGCGAGAGGCGGGGTATCGGTTATCACGGAGAAGGGCGAGATAACGACGTCATACCTTTTAATTCAACGTGCTCAACCGGCGGACAGCGGACAATACACCTGCCATCCCAGTAACGCTAACACAAAGACAGTCTTAGTTCATGTACTTAATGGTATGTATACTTATTAATCTTATAACGCACCTGCTGCTACGCCGCCGTACCGTCTGTACGGGGCGGCTTAATGGCCACCTAATGACGATCTTTATGCGCTATTCAGCCCCGATTATCCGGCGTATCGCGAGAAAATAAATATATTACCGTGGGCGAGAGGGAGAGCGCGGAGGGGGGGAAAAAAAGTGGGGTATTAATCCTTTCCGCTTTGCAGGGGAACATCCAGCCGCGATGCAGCACGGCGGCCAGCTCAGATTAGCCAATTTACCTTTTGTAATGATCTCGACGACGCTTTTGACCTTCCTGAATCACCCGTATTAGACGTAGCGCCGGACCATTGTGAAACGTTAGCCGGGTACGTTTCTTGCGACCGATTTCTTTCGCACCTGACCGTTTGAGTTTCCTCGAGAGGAGGATCTTATCTACCGCCGAACGCTCCACGCAACTCGTATGAATATAAACGATCGACGAAATAAACTGCACAAGCTCGAGAGTCTTTCCACGCGATAACGTGATTTATATTGTACACTTGTTGTTCGAATGCGTTGTTATCGAAGGCTGTTACTGTCGTCGTTCGCCCATGATTTATTGTTGTTAAAAAGATTGTTTAATGGGAGACAGCCTTTATATGAGTAACGCATAAGTCCTCGTAATCAAACTAGCCTTTATACCTTGCGAGAATTATTGGATATTCTTTATGGACTGTAAACGTCGCCTACGTATTGTCTACGTTCAATGAGCGTGAAAAAGTCTGCACAGGCGAATGTAATCGGCGAGAGCGTCGTAAACGCAAAAGGTGCACAGGGACAAAATCGATATGGCGACGAATCGAAGAGCGACAGAGCGGTTTCGCGCGCGGCGACAACGAGGATCAAATTTTCGTCGGCGCCGAGAAACATTGCGAGTGTGCGTTTCGGGGCGAAGACAGGGTAAAATCGAGTGCATTTGCGAAAATATCTGCCACCTAATTTGGGGAGCCCGAGCAACGTTACATCTATTTTGCCCTACCGCGTTTTACAAGACGATACGTTGCGCTTGCCAAAGGAGAAGAGCTGCGTGCCTGTTATCGTTACAGGACTAATTTAGGTTCTGGCATGGAGAGGTGCGTGTTAAGATTATTATGTTGTGAAGCAGAGAATGGCGTGTAAAAAGAAAACGTATCGTCCCGTTTGTACGAATGAGTGATTCTATTTGCGAGCGACTTCAATCGTACCTCGGCGTGACTCGCTCATTCACACTGAGAAAAATGTTAAATATAATCGGATAATCCAATTACATAATAGCGGATATATCCAATTCAATTGTATATCCGATGAAAAGTACGATCGGTTTTTCAATAAAATTTCATCGGACAATTTTCATCAGATGTACCCATAATTTAATCGGAAACGCTATTTAATTGGTTTATCCGATGGAAAGTTTTCTCAGTGCACATACATCGTCGAATATTTCCAGTTTAATGGCTTTATCTTGCAATAAGATACGCCGTAAAGCCATTAAAATGGGAATATTCGATGATGTACGAATGAGCGTGTCACGCTGAGGTGCGCGATTGGAATCATTTGCAAATAGAATCGCTCATTCGTACAAGCGGGATGATAAGTTTTCGTGAGAAAACTGTTCCTCGACGATGGTCTTTAATGAGAGGAGAAACTCCGACAAGTTTGACGCGCTCGAACGAAATAGCGAAAAATATGCTTCGGTAACCGTCGAATGTTATGCTATAATCACGTTAAATTTCTATTTGTCCGAGCCGACGGATTCGTTAAATGTTTGGCGCATTACTTCATATTAATTTAACAAATTATTTGATGGCATGGACCTGTATCGCTTCGAATGGCTGTTATAGAGCTCTAACGTGGCGATAATTGTGAAAAAAGATTATAGTTACAAGTTCGGTATGCGTTATAACGTTCCAACTTGTAATTATCGAGGAAAGTGCGCTATTGTTTATCGTGCCTTTGCTTATCTAACGTGTCACCTTTAATTATGTCACGTAAAAGGAGCACGAAGATTAGCTGCAACATTTTTTGTTCAAGGGGGAAAGAGTAGCTTGATTTAACATTAGATTGTGCTCCTTGAAAACTTGGATTGTTTGACGAGTTAACGGACGGTTTCGGATTTATGGAAGCTCAGAACACACGCTTGTATGTATATCATTATCGCTCTACAAATTAGAACACGTGTATGTCGTGCGTTTGGCCGCGAAATTACTCGAATTTGTGCGGGCGATTCGAGACTCTCGACCACTTCCTGATTTGGCGAGTCTATTAGATAATAGCTATTTGTTATTGTCGTGCAAATAAACCAATTATGATTAAAGCATACACACCGATCACGTGTCATTTAACGCATCGCCATCTTGTTCTAATTTCGAGTATAAACGATATTATATTCGAAGATTAGATTTAGTTTTATAGATTTATTGATGATATTGAAATGAATTACTAAATTGAAAATAAACGACAGGCTGGACGCGAGAATCAAAATTTTAAGTGTCCATTTGGATCACGATAATCAATTTGCTGATACGTATGTACAGAATGTCGCAGTGCTTCCTAGGAATTACGGACTTGTTAGCGAATTTGAGAGAAAAAAATGAGAAAGAAAGACAAGTCGATACTTCCTTAGCTGAAACCTTTGTATATAATCTTTTAATGATCAATATCACGGTAAATCTCAAAATTAAAGTCCCATTAGGATAAAATGTACGTGATGCTAAATAAAAAAAAAAGAAAAATCTTTATTTCCAGCATGAAAATTGTCCCCTTCCATACAATAGACCATTCAATCGCTGTTAAATCAAACTGGCGTGATAAAAGATATGGTAAATGCTCTTTTTATAACTTGCTTACACGGTCTGTAGCGGATCCTTGTCGCTTTCGGAGACGCACACTTGGACAGGTTTTTGCAGGCTGCGCTGTAATATCGAGGCAAATATCTTAAGAAAACCGCGTTCTGAATCAGAATGATTCGTTAGTATAACATGAGTCCTTTGATGCACAGCGTCCAATACATCGTGATGCAACATCTCTCCCGTGAGATACAAGTCTGCAGATATTCCTTTCAGTACCGACACGCCTGATCCAGCACATAGCGCAACGGTATTAATGTAACCATCTAAAATATAATAATGATGCAAAATATTAATTATATATTTATCACCCATCGAGTGTGACTCTGTTCTTTCAGCATTAGATTATTTTAGATTATTTTGGCCGAGATCTCACCTGTACCGCGCGCTCGTGCCAGTCGTACGTGCTTCAAATTGGTTCGCTGCTTCACCAAATTCACCGCTTCGTCGATGGAGATTCGACTCTTCAAGGTACACAATCTCCCAAATCCGTAAGTCGCGTTACTCTCGTTTCGTTGAATCGGCTCACTATTCTCGAGCTCTGGAAACATCATTTTCATGTACGATAAGATATATTAACGATTTAGCGATCGAGATGGAGATGCCGTAACGAATCTCCTTCTTACCGAAAGCTTCCGCCAGCCAATCGTTTACACCACCTTTCACGGAATCGAAACTGCTGTGCGGAGAGAAGACGGCGATTTTGTTTTCCAGACACCTCGCTACTATTCGTTCCTATTGTGTAAAGTGAAAATAATTATGCGTAATGAAAATCAAGTTGCAGTGACACGAAGATCCCGCAGAACGTTACGGTACCTTCCAAGATGCGGTTGTAATGGATTTCAACGGAGCAAATATTAGCGGATGATACGTGACGACTAAATCGGTTTTCAATTTAACAGCTTCGTCCATGACGTCTTCAGTTAAATCATTTGTTAATAAAATATGCGATACAAGTTTCGGTTCCGTGGGCTCGATCAGTAATCCAACGTTGTCCCAGGAAGCCGCGAGCGACGTGTCCGCGAACTTATTCATTGCGCTCACAATGTCCTTCAAGGGCATGCCGACTTCATTCCCCGCAGAGTGGCTCATCGTGCGCACAGTTTTATACTGTTTGATATACTTGTATTGGAAGTAAAAGCTCCCGCGAGATAATCCCACGTTGCATAAGCACTTGAGCATTTACGTGCAGCCCTGAAATAAATGTGCAACTATAGATAACACGACCCGTGATATTATACTTCAAGTGGAGCAATTAAAGATAACATACATGTTTAATTTTAATTTATTATTCGATACAAAATTGAAATAAGAGTTTCGTTAACAAAACTGGCGAGTTCTTACGCTATAAATTATTGGGAATGGAGAATCTTTCACAAACTAATCTCTCGAAGAAAGAAACAATATAAAACCATTATCCATGTAACGTTACGAATTTTAACAACGTTTGTTCGTCGCTACATGAAATGTTGAGATACGATCATAGAGTTTTCCTCTCTCACGCAATTTGGAATAATAACTTTTACTTTTATGATAGACATTTACTATCCGCCAATTTCGTATCATCCTCTTTCCGGGTGAGAAGGGTGTAAATAAAGTAAGTGGGAATCCCGTATCTTACAGATATACATTTTATTCGTTATAAAACCATATTTTAACTGTACTATCGTCACTCGCGGACGCGAGTTGCCCAGGAATCGTGGGATTCCACTGGACGCAGTTAACATCTTGGGCGTGCGCGCTGTCTACCGAGCAGACCATCGTGAAACTCGCTTGATGCGGATCGCAGTCGCTGTCCTCCTTAAATATCCTAATGATATCGTCGCCGCACGCGGTCACCAGCAAGCCTGTAGTCTTGCACCAGTCGATGTCGTAAATAGTTCTCGTGTGGTATCCCGACAACGTGCAGACACACTTCCAGACGGACTCGTTGTTCGGCGTAGCGACGCCCATGTCGTTTCCCGGCTTGTACTCCCGCCAGATCTTCACCGTTTTGTCGTCGCTGCAGGTCGCTATTCGGTCACCAGTCTTGTCCCACGAGAGACTCCATACCGTGGACGCGTGAGACGACATGGATGCGACGCACGACCAGTCGCTGTCGGCCGCGTCCTCCTTAAATATCTTGACAGTGTTGTCGTAACTGGCGGAGGCCAGGATCTCTTCGCGCGGATGCCATCTCACCTAAAAGTAAGCGCTTGTGTACAAATCGATTGCCGATAAGTCGACAGAACAAAGCTGCAGACTTGTACTAACAAATGTATACTCGCGAGTGACGACTTTTCAGTGGACAAAACAACGTACCTTCTTTACATCTTGGGTATGCGCGTTAATAACGGCTGCGCACTCGTACTCGTCGTCCGACGCGAGCTTGTTGTTCACTTCCCACACCCACACGGACTTGTCTCGGCTGCACGTGGCGAGCAACTCGCCGGAGGTGGACCAGCTGACGCTCTTCACCTCGTTCTCGTGCCCCTCTAACGTCGCGTTGCATTCAAACTGCCCCGACTTTTTGTCCCACACCGCGGTGGTGGCGTCGAAGCTCGCCGACGCGATGTAGCTACCGCAGGGGGACCAAGCGAGCTCTCTAATAGTCCTCGAGTGCCCCTCGGTGAGGATCATTTTCGTCACCCACTTGGCTCCCTCCAATCCCCATATTATAATCGTCTTGTCCTCGCCGCAAGACGCTAGATTCGTACCCTTGGGATGCCAACCGACACTCCACACTCTGCCCCTATGCCCGGTCAGGCTTTGCTTTAGTTCCAACGTACCCATAGCTACCTGCAACAGCACAATTCACCTGTCATGCGGAACAACGGCGTACGCTTCTCGACCTTCTCGCCGGGTCTATCTCAGGCGTTACAAACGGCTGCGCTCAGCGGAGAAGCTGCCTCGCGACTGTTGTGAAAATCCTCAATCTAATTGGAGTGTGCTCTCAATTGTGGCAGTATACTCCAGTCAAATTTTACAACTGTTGCAAAGCAGCCTTTTTCTGCCTGAGCGCTGCGTCAACAAAAGTGACGAATAAAACGTGTCCCCCCAGGGACATGGAGGATTGATCCTTCAAACACTTACGATAAACATACTACGTGAAAGAGGACAGCTTAGGTCACGTTGGAACTAAATGGCGCGGCGTATCATTTTCGCTTCGATCGCTTTTCCTACCGACTTTTCGCAATCTTACAGTGTACGATAACTCGCCTAACTGTAATAGCAATACACGTGGTTAGCAACGATGAGCCCGTCGCACGGATAAACAATTGACGGCGGCGAAGTTACTTGGTAAAATATCTTGCAGACTCACCGTTTTGCGTTTCCTGGGGAGAGAACGTCAGCGGTTGACTCCCGCACGCATGGATATACCGGTTGACAACGCGTGGAGTATTTCTGAAGACGATAACGAGCGAGAAACCTCCGACAGTCTCCGGTCTCGTCGCGCTGTCCGCGTCGATCGCGCGATCGGCTGTCGGTAAACGTGCGCTTTGACGCGACGGTTGCCGAGGTTGATCACAGAGGGCGCTAGGATACCCTCGCGCGCCAGCCCGCGCACTTATGTCGCAGTCTACAACAGCACAGATTGTTTTAGTCAATAATTATTCATTAAAATAGCGTTAGATATAAGGAAGAATAATGTTAAATAATTACCCCGATGAAAATAGAAATTGGAGCGTAAATCGAACGTGAGGGAAGAGTGACGCAAGCGTAAACGAGATGTGTAGGAAGCGTAATTTGGAACGGCGAAGCGTTTGAGGTTTCTTTCACGCTTCGCCGTTCCAAGTTACGTTTCCTACACATCTCGTTTACGCCTCTGTCACTGTCCCCTCGCGTTCGATTTACGCTCCAAATTCTACTTTCACCAGGGTAGTTATGAGGATCACAGATGTAAGAATGAATCCACTCATGGGGCACGTAGGAGAAAAGTAAAAACACTTTTACTATGCAAATCGATACCCAAGCTATCGATTAAGCGCAGTCTCAAGTTCGTCGGATCAGCCGTTGTTGAGATCCGAAATTCTGAGGGCCCGTCAACTCGCGTACTCGCGTAAACTACACGGTCGGTGTCGCGCGCGTGGTTTTAGCTTGTTCACTTATATTTGGCGCGAGACACTACCGTGTCTCGTGATAATGAATAAAGCCCAATGTCCACGATGCTAGAACTTGGATCAAGTTCTAGCATCGTGGACATTGGCCTTAATACCTGTGGCGAGAGAAATTCTGCCACGACGCTTTGGAGTTCGGTAAGCGCACTTACCCCTCGCCGAATACAAGCCTACACTGGGTCAGCCAGTGCAACAAATCAGAGTGAGAAAGTATATATTTTTCTCGTTGTCGCACCACGTTGAGCGGTGCATCGGGAACAGAAAGCAAAACTGAGGGTGGACGAATGAATGAAACGCAGAATAAGGGGCCGCGCGGCGCGCGCGCGCGCGCGCTGACGTAGAAGAGCGCAAGGGAGAGCTGCTCTCCGGTGTGGGCCGAGAGAGTTGGCCGTCGCGCGCCGCGCCGCGCCGCGCCGAACCGAACCGAACCCGAGGGGAATCTGTCGCAGGTGTAGACGCGGCGAGGTGGGAGTAGATCGCGTCGCGTCACCCTCTGAGATTTGCATCGCGTCGCGCGCGGCGCGAGAGACGGAAACGAGACGTCGAGGCGTCGCGACGACTGGGTAGAGCGCGGTGCGCGGTGCGTCGACGACCTGCCAGGGAACGAGGCACGGCGACACCTGCTCGGTGGGTAGGTAGGCGTGCGACACGGCGGCCAACGGTGACGCGCGTACGCAGGAGCGAGCGGACGGACGGACGGACGGTCGGACGTGCGTGCGTGCGTGCGTGCGTGCGTGCGTGCGGCAGCAGAAGCGGCGACGGCCATACTCAAACAACGGCCGAGCGGAGTGCGCGGCTACGAGAGATGAGGTAGATAATAGAGTTTCAGAAACGGCCGAGAGGGAGAGAGAGAGAGAGAAACAGAGGCTTCCGATCTCGGCACGCAGCGGGTCGCGCGCGTGAAGCTGCAGGACAGGACAGAGAGAGAGAGAGAGAGAGAGGGAGAGACGGAGAGGGACGAGGCGGCAAACGGTGGCGAGCTGAGCGAGCTGAGCTCTGAGCGGAGCTGAAGCCGATTCGAGTCGAGTGGAGTCGAGTCGAATCGCGGTCGGCGCGAGTGCAACCGCGATATATCGGTGCGCGAGGGCGAGCCAGCCAGCGGCAGCCAGCGGTAACAGTAACAGTAACGAGTAGCGAGGAGAACACGAAGGAGCGGCCCGGAACGGGCGGAAGTGTGGGTCGTGCGTGCCTCTGCGTGCGTGCAGTGCGTGCGGAAAGAACGTTGGACGAGGGATAGCAGACGGCAGGTGCAGCAGCGACGACGGAGGAGACGGAGACGGAGACGACGACGACGGCGGCAGCGGCGGCAGTGACGACGGCGGCGGCGACGGCAGTGACGACGGCGGTGGCAGCGACGGCGACGACAACGACGACGACGACGACGACGACGAACGGGGCACCGGTGGTCGAGCTCGGCGCGGGGGTCCAATTGGTCGGCGGGATGAGCGCCAAAACGGACGTGAACAGGCGGGTATTGGCGATCCAGGCGAAGAAGAAGCGGCACAAGCCCAGCAAACGCAAGGGCAAGGCGAACTCTCAGAGCGAGCAGGACGCGCAGAGCTCGAAGGGGCCGCGTGCCGGTCAGGTAGCCGCTGCCGCGACCACCACCGCCGCCGCCGCCACCACCACCACCGCCGCCGCCGCCGCCAACAACGCCAACGTCGCCACCACGACCACAACAACCACCGCGAACACCACCACCTACGAGTACGCCTCGGACGGGCCGCCGCAGCGCGCCTACAACAGCGACAACGGGACCAGGTAACCCCCGGCGTGCCCCGATCGGCGGCGCGAGGACTCCGGAGCGTCGCGGCTGTTACGCGCCCGCCCCCCCCTCCGCCGCGTCGCGTTACGTTGCGCCGCGACCGCGTATCCGACGGTGACAGCTCGTCGTCGAGGAGTCGCCGTCTTGGCGCGCGCGACTTCCCTACCGTCACCCATAAGTGGATGATTATGCATGCACAAGTTTGTGATTGTCGGAGAGAAAAGCGGTGGACAACAGTGATTAATGTAATATTTAACGTGAGACAATAGTTGTGTGGGCGATTACGGAGCACAGGGGGTTAATGCGAATAATTCTACCGTAACAGTCGGTCGGAAACACCGGGGGGGGGGGGGAGGAAACGTAATTGGTGTGTTCGATTGTTGTATTTACGATTTTCAACAGGTAGACGTTACCTCGGAATCGCTCGATGACAAGCGTGCTCGCTAATCGCCACTAGTAGAAACCCGGAGACCGTTGAATTGCAATCGCGTTTACGTTTAACAAGGGAGATTCGGTTGTCGCGCGAGTGTTTGCTGCGTTAGCTGTAACTCACCATTTACGATTGACGAATCTGTCGTAGATTGGTACCATGTCATAGTTCCAGCAATGAAACGATAGAGGACGATGATGCGTTCAGTACCGAGGACGAGGAGCAGGAGGACAGCAGCGACTATTGTAAAGGCGGATACCATCCGGTGAAGATAGGGGATCTCTTTTTAAATCGCTATCACGTGACGCGTAAGCTCGGCTGGGGCCACTTCTCTACCGTATGGCTCTGCTGGGACCTGCAGGTACGACACCCGGATACAGTAACCGATTCTCCTCTCACACGTACATAAACACGGGACGTTTTGAAACTATGCTGCAGGATAAACGTTTTGTGGCGCTTAAAATAGTGAAATCCGCATCCCATTTCACTGAGACCGCATTGGATGAAATTAAATTATTAAAAGATGTGCGCGATACGGATCCCAGCGATCCTAAGCGCAATAAGACCGTCCAGTTGCTCAATGACTTCAAGATCAGCGGCATTAACGGCCTGCATGTTTGCATGGTATTTGAAGTGCTTGGACATAATCTTCTTAAATTGATTATCAAGTCAAACTACAGAGGAATTCCAAGAAATAACGTTAAACGCGTCATCAGACAAGTCCTCGAAGGTCTCGACTATCTTCATAATAAATGTAAGATGAATGTTTCAGTCATTGATAACATTCGAATTTATATATATATATATTTATATACTTATATGTAGTCAGCTTAACGCAATAGTTTAACAGAGTACTCCAAGTATCTGAGATATACGAGGAAAATCGCTGCAATTCCGTCAAGTTTATCGCTGTGCACTACATGTTGTATTCTCTTTCAGGTAAAATTATTCATACAGACATTAAACCTGAGAATGTTCTTGTGTGCGTCGATGAGACTTATATACGAAAATTAGCTTGCGAGGCGACAGAACTGCATTCTATGGGCGCCAAGTTACCGGTGTCCCTGATTTCTACCGCGCCGAAGGAGTTTCAAGAGCCCACGCCCAACTCCAAGATGTCCAAGAATAAGAAGAAGAAGCTAAAGAAGAAAGCCAAGCGCCAAAATGAGCTCTTGAAGAAGCAGATGGAGCAGATCGAGGAGTTAGAGGAACAAAGTAAACTCGCGAATAGCACGAGAGAAAACGGGGAGGTCGAAACGAATAGCCTAGACCAAGATCTCAACACCGAGAGCATAGAGGACAATACGGAGAGCAAAGACTCTCCGGAGCTCCGGAGCATCTCGGAGTCGTCCGCGCCTTCCTTGCATATGAACGGGGTGGACGGTTTGGCGGGCGGCGAGAAGATGCAGAATCTATCGCCCGAGCAATCCGAAAAGATGGACAACGTCATTCTGTGCGACGTGGAAAAGAGCTGCGGCGAAGGTGTTCTACCACCTGATCCCGACGACACTGACGAATGTAGCGAAGGTAAAGTAATCACCGCCAAGTATCGGGCGACGACGTGCCTCTGTTCTTTCCCCACTGCAATCTTATTTCTCATCCGTCATCTTGCAGGTCGTAGATCATTCAACCCACCGGAAAGTAAGCAATTGAAACGGGCGTCCGTGTCTCCCTTGGATCCTGCCATAATGGACTGCGAGATAGAAGTTAAGATAGCGGATCTCGGGAACGCATGCTGGGTTCATAAGAAATTCACGGACGATATCCAGACCCGTCAGTATAGGTCGCTCGAGGTTCTGTTAGGTTCCGGGTACGACACCTCTGCCGACATATGGTCCACTGCTTGCATGGCGTTCGAATTAGCGACTGGCGATTACCTCTTTGAACCTCACAATGGCAAAGACTATTGCAGGTAACGTTTACAGGATTCGACAACGCAATTGTACAAGTCTTGTAAAAATTGGAGGATCGAAACTATTTCTTATTAATGTTTCAGAGACGAAGACCATTTGGCTCATATTATCGAGTTGCTGGGAGAAATACCGAGACGTATCGCTCTCTCGGGGAAGAATTCGAGGATATACTTCAATAGGAAGGGTGAATTAAAGCATATTACCGGATTGAAACCGTGGGGCTTGTATGAAGTGTTGACGGAGAAATACGAGTGGACGCCGAACGAAGCACGCGAGTTCGCAGAGTTCCTAATACCGATGCTCGAGTTCAATCCGAGCATGCGAGCTACCGCAGCCGAGTGCCTGAAGCATCCGTGGCTGCAAATCAAAAAGTGATCGCGTTTTTTATTGTTTTATCTGTAATATCCCCTCAACTTTCACCCTGGTCCTACCGCCCAGTTGTCGCAATCGTAAATCGAGAGTGTGATAGGAAGCCGAAGACACTTGGTAAACGTCAGGTGTTATTTCCGTACTGAAAGTCACAATTCAGCGATACCCAATTTGCGTACGAGAGGAGCAAGTGCATCGTTTCAAGAGCGCGTACACACCCACACGCATATACACACGTACATACACACGCATACACACGTGAAAACTTTGATATAATACAAATTACAGAGATAAATTGTAACATACGTTGTTATATTAATCGTACGTACGCCACGTGCGTGTCTTCGCGTGGGAAATGTTACGAAACTGAAAACGTTTCGAAAAGAATTGTTATATACCCTTTACAAATGGTGATTTGACAATATTGCGGAAGTCGCCCCAAGGAAAGTTGTCTCTCGGATGCAGCGAGCGAAGTGTCGCAAAATCCGGAAATTGTTAGAGGAAGAAGATCTTGCAACATTCCGCTGATTTCCACATAAAAGAGAAAAAAAACGGCCGCGCGCGTGCTTCCTAACGTAAACACTCTCAACACATCGGCTGACCATTTGTAGTTGTACACTTGTTAAATCGTATTTTTAATTAGTGATGAGAGAGAGAACTTAAATTAAAAAGAAATTTTTCATAGTACTTTATATACATTATTTTACACATATTCGTCTCGCATTCTTCGTCATTTAATTTATCTGCGAATATTCCAAGAGTCGTGCGATCCACTCGTAATGCGCTGTGAAGGTACTGGCGGGCTCGGTATCGTGTTTGGTTTAAAATTAGGACTCATTGCCTTGACTCAGTTATCCGTGTGTACTTTAATACATCGTACACACCGGTCGCTGTAAATTCTTGCCAACAAACTTGTGAAGTCGCGAGACAAATGGCTACTTAATTAATATTTTACGTCTACCTCAATATATGTGGGCCGGTTAGAAATACTCATCAACAGACGTGCACGTAACGAGGGGCCGCATTCAAATAATTGTAAATTGAAATAGAAAGATCTGTACATTGTAGATAATTAAGAGTCGGTCACTGGATTCTTGGGATATGTATGTAATTTACGTGGGCGCTGATTGGAGTAAGACAGTACGCATAAGTGCATATTCAATTTCGTTTTTCACCTAGTTTCAAGTTTTGCGTAAAATTTGAGAATGTATTGTTTCTTCTTCGTATCGCTGTTGTCAAGATAACGAAATTTTATTAGCGGTATGCGACGAGATAAGATCGCGTTTGCAAATGTATAACTGTTATAAAAAAGAATTGATATACACTTTTGTAAGAATAGAAATGTACATACAAATGACAGCATACAAAGCTAACATATCCAATATACGGTTTACATGTGAAAGTGTATTGTGCACTTTGTCTTATTCCACTGCGCCCTGCTATACTGATATTGTAACGAACATTTCTGTTATAAACTTGTTTACGTCGCTAATGCGAATGCCTGTATACATAATGTACAATTACGAAGAGAAAAAGAGTATCTATATTGCGAGTAAGGTCTTGGCAGACTTGATGAGAGCAGCTGTAACGAGAGTAATGTTGAGTTTTATGTAAAACTTCTTTCAACACTGACTGATCACTGAGCTCTCTGCCGATTATAATTGTCTTCTTTTTTTTATAAACGAAAAAGCGAAGCAGTGCGTTCCACCGGATCGTCTTATGTCGTGCGTATTTCCCTATGCACGAATGCAATTCATGCTTCCCGCAGAATGTTCTGTTTCGCTTGGCCTGCCAGTCTCAAGTTTCACAAAAAAGGTCTCGATCGAACTGTGTGTGGAAATGCGTACGTCGAATTATACATATTTCATCGTCATGTACAAAATGTCTTGTCACTTATTGCGGCTACATCTCTTCCCGGGTAAAAGAGGATAAAAGAGGAAAATACTCTCGTAAAAATACACGGCATTTTACCATCTACTTTTTTTAAACACAACATGCGTACTTTATTTTACTTCTCATCATTTTCAGTTGGCAATATTTTTACTTGATTACATAAACACTTCAACACGAAATGATGTACACTAGGCACAGGTTTTAATTTATTAAAAATTTACGTCCATTTTTTATGAAATATGTTTGCTAATTTTCTCTTTATATTTTCGTTTTAGCAAATGAATTGTGTTCTCGCGATCGATAAATGGAACAGGAACAACGTATACGCCCCTAAAATTTGTGGTATAAATGGAAAGCAAGTGATACGCGAGATGAGAAAGTGCCTCTTCTACCCGCGCTACAATTAATATCGTATGGAGGAAGAATGCGTTTATATGCTGTTTTATCGCGGCAGTACAAAACCTGATGCATTTTAGGTTGTATTTTTATCATCGTTTTCCCCTGCAGGAACTCTTTCGTGAATCTCGTGTGGTCTCCAACGACGGCGAATCTGTACAGTATGTAGCTAAATTTTTGGCGGATAACATTCGAGACACCGTTCTACAAAATATACGGCCAGTGAAATCCGTTACTACGAAGGCAGCGATCACAGCTCGTTTTAATTCTTCCGTTTAGTATTGCTCGTTATTCATGGTAGAGCCTGGCGCTTCTAATCAAATCGACATCTGGCTTTTGCTCGGCCTCGCTCGACTATTCAGCTCCCAGTGTCACTCGTACGACTTCGGAGCCCACGCAATTCCTTTGAAAAGCAAAGATCTGCAAATTCCGAGGATCGAAACCGGTGTAATCTCGTTTCAGTTCCCAGTTGTAGGCAACCGCGTGAAGAATCGTCTCTCAATATAAATAAGGGAGTTTGTCCATAACGGGAGGGAGGAGGAGAAAAGTTTGATCGTTTAATTATTTCTTGAAGCGAAATTGGCATTGAAAAGAAAATCTTGTTGCAGGGTAATTCTCACGCTTGTAGATCGATAGATATATATAATATTTATACATTTACATATATAAGCGGTTTCCATCCTCGGTTGGGAGATTACGGGAGAGATGGGTATCGATCGAAGCGTGCAATTAAGGAGTGTGCTTCCGTGAATACGATGTAATAATCAATAACGGATCGTTGACTAGAGGTAATAATTTTGTTAGACGACGACGAGTCAACGTAGACACTGAAATCGCGTCCCCCCATCGTCATTAGATGAACCGAAGCTCAAATACCGCGTTGCCGGCGGCGTTCGCGGCTCCGCGAGCCGTCGCATCTGAAAATCGTTCGCACTGTGACCATAGATAACGTTATCTCATTAATATATCATATGTATCATACATATATATATATATATTAATATCTCTAGTACTCTATACATAAATATATACATATTATACATATTAAACATATGGATATTGAAACGATAAATAGGTGTGACTCGCTGCTTGGCGTTAGGATATAGTTAGAAGGGAAATTAACAAAATGATAATAGCGAACTGTGTATAGCTCTTGATGTACACGAGATGTCCCCGTCGCCCCCCCCCCCCCTTTCCGACTACCGAGCGAAATGATATTATTTGCGCGAAGCGGAGAAAGGGGAGAGGAAAAAGGCGAGAGGCGAGTGGCCGCGAAGCGCTCCATTTCTTTTCTTCCCCCTGCCCCCCTACCCCCCTTCCTCTCCTCGCGATAGAGAGGCCTCTCGCGCACAAATGTGTATAAATGTAACAAGATTCGCGGACGACGGATAATCAGGGGGATCGCGGCGATCGGATGAGAGGGGAGAGAAAAAAGAACAATGGTGTATAAATACAGGGACCCAATATTGAAATTCACACACCAAGGACTCATGTTCCAATCGGTAGATTCTAAAGCTTGCTCCGAGCGTGGCGGATCTGTTGGGAGCGGGTGTGATCGGATCTGACGCGAGTCCAGGGCTGTTACTTTGTTAACTTGGAAATCCACGAAGCTTCGAATGCTTCCGAAGATCTCGACGAAGGTTCGAGGTGTCGAGGCCTGGCCCAAGGAGAAGAAAAAGTCAGGATGATGTCAATATGACATCAAATTGACATCCTCCTCGCTTTTTCTTCTCCTTGGGCGCGAAGGAACCCAAGTAGAACATATTAGTCGTGAAAACGTCAAGGTGACATCATTTTTTGATCATTTTTCATGCATCATGGTGACGTCAAAATAGCCCACCGAGAGTACCTATTTGTTGTAAGAATGATCTTGTTTTACAAAGCAAAGTTAATTAGATATTATACATTAAGAATCGATTGAAGTGATATAAGGTGAACATAATATACGACCGATCATGTAATCTGTAATAATATACGCATTGACGTCTTTGTGATTAACTTGTTCTACTTGGGAAAATCACCAGGTCCTAGGCGCGACGCGCCTTCGAGATCGCTTGCGAAATTACAATATCCCGGGATATATCTCGGAGCAACCGATATCGTCTCGCGGCTCGGAAACGAAAGGGCGCGACGAGAGAGGGTGCGATCTCGCGCGCGGGGCAAAGAAACCGCGAGGACGCGATACCGATTGCCCGCTCCTACCCCGAGAACGATCGGCGGACACGCGAGAAGTCGCGCGCTGCGACGTTAAACGCGCGGCGCGACCGAGACCGTCGGTCGTTCCTCAATTATATAATCTCGTTACCGAAACGTATAATCCCCACCGCGGGAGATCCGTTGAATCTTTGAGAAGAACGAGAGCGCGTCGGCTGCCACCGACGTTAAAGTGCGAATGCGAGGACCGAGGGATGTGGCCTTGATCGTGGAGCGAAAATAACGTCGACGATAAGCTGCGTGCGCTCTGTCGAAGGGATTTTACTCCGCGCGCGCGCGCGGTCTCTTTTAGTCTTAAGAAATTGGCATATTGTCGGGGAGAGAGCGGCGCGCGTGCGACGACACGTTTTCCGATAACGGAAGAAAGCTCCTCGCTATCAAACAACACCAAGTTTTATTAACGCGTAAGCGCGCGGAGGTGCTGTAAATATTGCGGGTGAACCCGGCGCGCGGGGTTTTGCACATTTTTAGAAGGGCGTATCACGACGGCCCGCTCGGCGACTGAGCCGCGGAGGCGGGGGGGGCTGAGACCCCTCGGGATCGCGAAGGGATCGCGACGTTAAAATGTACAGCGATTATATATCAGAACGACGGAGGAGAAATTAGAATGCGCGCGCGCGATAAAGGGTGAGACGACAGGAGGAAGGGAGACGCAAGGTCGGCGTACGATAATATTATCTCACTGATTGGTACATAGTCATACTGGTCTCGTAGCGTTATAGAGAGCCATTTAACTCTGCATGCTTAGCCAATTTGCGCTCGCCGGCGGGTCCCCCCCTCGTGAGGTCCCGCCGCGCGACGGACGTTTTAATAAGGGTGTAAGGCTATCGATAAAGGCACGTGTAGGCGCCCGCGACACGTGACGATCGTCTTTAGAAGTTCATCGAGCCGACAAAAACGGGACGCGCAAGTTAACAGCGAACTGAACCCGGGCGATGCGTCGCGAGAAAAACGACTGGAGCATCGAGACTCGGGGAAAGCAGGAACAGCGTCGTCGTCGTCGTCGTCGTCGACGACGACGACGACGATGTGTGCTCCTCTCTTAGACGATATCCCAGATTAGCGCGATAAAAATATGCCCTTTGTACCGGCTGGGCGATCGAATCCTCTCGCGAGAGGACCGGAGGCGGGACGCTTGATTGACCGATTAGTCCGCCTGATCGCGCCGAATACGTCCGCGAGACGCGAAGGAGGGCGTCACTCGGCGGACCCGCGTCATTGGTTTTTCTGCAAATAATTTAAATGATGGGCAAATTAATTTCGAATTAATTGCGCGTATCCCAGCGGGTCTCCGGGCGTCCGCGCGGGATTACGTTTATTCCGTTTTCAAAATTGACGGGAACGAGGGGAGGGGACCCAAGGAAAAGTCAGGATGATGTCAATTTGATGTCATATTGACATCATCCTGACTTTTTCTTCTCCTTGGGGGAGACTCTTACTCGCCTCCGACTCGTCCGTGGAGCCGCTCTTTTTTTTTCCCCCCGGCCGCATAATCTTCGTCGGCTTTTCGACGATTCCCAGAGATATTTTCTGAAGCCCTTCCGCGCTGATGAATGCTCGAAGATGCGTTAAATCACGTTCGTCCGGGCGTGTCGCGCAATCAAAGTCGCGCGCTCTTCCCTTCGGTTGTCCCCGGCGGATCGACGCTTGCGAAAAAGGAGAGCAAAAGATAATACCGAGTATAATTACGTCGCTGATCTATTGTGCACCGACGTCTCGTGCTCCAGTCACTCGATGTAACGACCGTGCGGAAGCATTAAGAACTCTAGAGCATAATAAGAAAAAATAGCCGTAACGAATCGAACGAATAAATGGATTTGATGTTTAGACGCTGCCTCCGTTATGTGCCCTGCCGCAAAGAATAAAAAATAAAACAGACAACCATGTATCCCCCACCCCCACCTGAGAGAGATCGATATATAATAATGAGAAATAAATTCGCAACAAAATAAATGGTCTTCTCTTTCACCCGCCGTCCGCCGTTTGATAGTAGAAAACAGCTGGAGTCGCTTATTTGTGAGTTTATTTATATATATCACAAATTATATCACCTTTATTGTCCCTGGATGTGTGACTACGGTCATACAAAGTATAATGTACAATATGTTCACGTTTATCCTATGTATGCGTATTTCAGATACTGGACGAAGAGAATACTTCAACAACAATTCGCCTCGCGACTCCGTTCCGTGACGCGCCTTTCCGCTTGTACACCGTCAGTTGCTAGGCTGAACTCGTGTCGCCTGTCGAATATTTGTAATTCACTCGACTCTTATTGCAGACTAGAACGTGCTCGCTTATCTTTGCGCCAGCTGACTTCTAGCTACGGAGTTTACGCGTTGGGTTAACGCTCGGCCTTAAGGAAGCAAGATAACAGCAGTACCTCCCACGAATGATATGATACGACACGTGTTCGTAACTACTCGCATGACGGTATACATATATTTCCTTTTCGCAACGACACCGTCGCGGATATTAACTAGGAAACGGATCCTCGAAGCTTCAACCCTTCACATTTTCCGTTTGTTCAAGTCAAAATATCTTCAACGCTGTACAAACATAGCGAGACCAAATGTCTAATCAAGTTTCATTAATACTGAGATGTAATAATGTAGGTAACATTTTTTTACAAGTATTAGAATTTTGTGAGAGAAATAACGACGAGACTGTTATAGATCATCTTAGTCGAAAGACTATTACATGTTATTTCGGTCAACTTAATAATTTAATCGTCGGCAAGTTCGTTCTAATAATTTGTTACTTGTTACATATAAAACAATGGCTATCGCACAGTTGAATAAAATTATACTAAATGATAAAATGTATATTACACTATCATTGTGCACATTGTTGTGACAGACTTCGTTGTTTCCTGATTATTACAGTGTTACTTTCGTACAATTTAACTTTTAGAATAATTACAAATATACATAACAAGAGTACCATAAATAAAATTCTATTTATACACACTTCTAATATTAATAAAAGTATCAGATCGTATAAATAATCTTGATCGATTCAACAAGCGTCGCGCGATTAAAGAATTATACGTAATGTGGAATAAGAGATTAACATAATCCGCAGGGGAAAAATACATTTGTGGGAATAAGTTGGACTTTAATCAGACCAATCCTCCTCAGCTCTGCAAATCAATAGTATTTCTGTTAATATCTTAAGATCTTGCTGAAATCATTTTACTGCCCATCACCGTTGCCAAGCTGCTTCGAATAAAGCAAGCATATTGAACAATACACTGCTGTTCACTATATAAGCAATGATGTAATAATGTTTACAATTGTACAGATACGTGTATTAGGCAAATAAATTACGAGAAAACATGGTGTACCAGAGACAATTAAATCTTGGACAAATGTCACTATGGCTGTATAGAACTCGCTGTGCAACCAGCATTACTCTCCTACCCATTTTCTCGTTCCATGTGGTTGTTCACAAGCCATGAAACGATTAGAGAGTTATATGAAAATATATTCCACATTCCACGTACTTGGTGCTTCTAATAAAACGTATACAAGTTAGTATCAAGCAACAAGCGTCAAAGAGAAATCCTTGTACTACCTTTAAACAGAGAGAATTCTAAGAGCTCTTCCTCAGCGGACAACGTTTGCAGCTTTGGTAAAACAAAAAGTTCTTATTCTTGTGAAAAGATCTGTACTGTTATTATAGATTTCACTAACGTTAATAAATAGTTATGTATATATATACACACCCATTGATAGGCAATATCGTTTGAAAGCACGTAGTTCAGCACACTTAAAGACATCACACACACACACACGCGCACGCGTACACAAAATAAATTAAATACTTAATATAGACCCGTGTCTAGGACGTCCGTTCTTCTCTTTCCCATGCGGCGGTTGCTCCTTAACTGTCCCAGTGACATTCAGATTTAATTGTGCGGTCGATGCCGTGGTCGCCTCGTCGTCCGATTCTATTGGACTGATTCTGATAGCTTGGTACCATTGATTCGTCAAATCCGTCATCTGCGACTTGCAGTCCTTCAACTCCTGCTGCGTGAATCGCCTCGTGAAGAACGGAATGAAGAATTTCAGGTCCCACCTTGCGAAACCACGAATGCGCGATTGCAAGAAGGACACTTCCATCTCCTCCTCCGTGAGTTCCGACAAGTGCTCGGAATCTATAGTTTGTCCCTACGGAAAAAAACCAATGCCATATACCCGTCTGTATGCGTATAAAGATTTTGCGCGTTGATTATCTGCACTGCGGGATCTTTTTAAATTTACCCATTCTCTCGTTTTGCTCAAGGTAACTTCCTTGTCCTTCTTCTTCCTCCTGCTGTTGCTCTTCTGCTTCTTCTCGGCCCTCAGGAATTTCAACAGAGGCATCGTGGACCCGCCGAATATCAAGGTCGTGAATAGTACGATGATGAGCGTCGTCGTTATAATAACGTGACGTGTTTCATCACTGAAGTCCAAGTGAAGCGACAACGCGTACGATATGGCGCCGCGCAGGCCGCTGAACCACATGATGAACATCATCTTCCTCGTGATTTGATGCTCGCGGAAACGATTGACGAGCAGGGCCAACGGGAAGATGTTGGCGGCTCTTCCAATCAGGCACAAGATCACGGACCAGACGACTAACGCCGGCTCGAACTACCGAAAGAGAAAGAGTTAATCGAGAAGGACTCACTTGTACACGGCGTATCGCACGATCACACTTACCCTATGTCTAAAGCTAAACAACGCTAGTCCCAAGTACGCGAAGACACAGGTCTCGGCGATGAAGGCCAACGTTCGCATTGTCTGCTGCATCGTAATCTGCGTGACGGTCGACAGGTTGAAATGTGTGTAGTGCGACATGACTATGCCATTGAACAGAATCGCCATAATTCCTGAAACAACGGATCGGCGTGAGGCAAATCGGCAACGGCGATTGTACGTACAAGGGAGAAATTCGCCGCGCAATTATTACAGGCGTCCTACCCGACAGTTGTATGCCCTCCGCTAAAACGTACGGGGCGTACGTGAACACCAGCATTATGCCGAACTCCAGAGAGGGATTCTTCCTGAGGTCAACGTGCTTGAGCAGGAGCGCGCTTATCAAAGCGAACACCACGCCGATGCCCGCCGACGCGAAGAACATGAGGCAGAAGCGATTGAGGCCGAGTATGATGGCCTCGCTGGTCGTCGCCGCGTTGTTGGACTCGAGAACGGAGGTGGTCAGCACGATGGAGATGGCGTCGTTGAGAATCGACTCCCCGAAGACCAACATGTTGAGGACCGGGTCGACGTCCAGGGCGTGGAAGATGGCGACGGTGGCGACCGGGTCCACCGCCGATATCAGCGAGCCGAACGCGAAGCTCTCGACGAAGCTGAGCTTGTACGCCACTTGCGCCAGGCCCAGCAGGTATATCCCGGCGCCGATGACGAACGCGGAGATGGCCGTCCCGAAGATGGCGAACACCATGATGCTGCCGATGTTCTGGAAGAAGTTACCCTTGTGCAGATTGTAGCCGGACTCGAAGATGATGGGCGGCAGCAGGACGAGGAAGAAGGCGGTCGGCGAGAAGGCCTCCTCCTTCCTCCAGTTGGCTATGTTCTGGTGGGACATGAGGTTTATGATCATGCCGATCGCCGCGCCCAGGAACACGATCACCACCGACTCGGGCAGGTACTGGAAATTGGTCTGCAGCATCAGGTGGATCAGCAGTATGCCCAGCGCGAGGACGCACAGCACAAAGAATATGGACATGGAGCTGTTGTGCTCCTCCTCGGCGGAGCCCTTGTCGGGGAGGACCGGCTCCGCCGGGGCGACGGTCGTCGTCGTCACGTTGGTCGCGTTGACGGCGTCCGGACCCGGCGACACGGCAGCGCCGTCCGTCGTGTTTCTCTTGTCGTTGCCGGGGCTCGGCGACGTCGCCGAGCCGGGGCTCCTCTCGCTCGTTTCGTGGCTCGCGGCATCGTCCGGGCGCGCCGTGCTCGCGGAACGGGTGGACGTCGGTGGTTTCGCGCTGGTCGAGCTGGCGTTGCGGCCGGCGGCGACCTGGCTCGTGTCGTTGCCGGGTCGCGCGGTGCTGGCCAACTCCGGCGCTGCCGCGCTCACGTTCGCCGCGGCGCGCGGTGCCTCCGTCACCGCGGCCGCGGTCCCGTTCTCCGCGACGGCGGCTCCGCTGGTGCCGCTTAGGTTAGCTGCGTCCTCGCCGCGCGACGCATATCGCGACACGTCGCACAGCAGCAGGATCCCGACCACGAGACTCCACCTGCACGACAGCACGGCACGTGCTCGAGACGTCATCTCTCAACGGTGTGGCATCATCCGACAGGTAGCAGAAGACGACCTCGCACGCCTCTCTCTTTTTCTCCCCTTTTCTCTCGCGAGATGCCCAATGCTCGGTAAAGTCACGCGAGGCAACTCTGACGTTTGACTAGTGAGCTGGAGTGTGTGTTCAAGATCACGTCACAGCTGACTCAGCCGTCAGTCCCTACGAATGGCAACAAATTCCCTAGATTATCATCACAATGATAATTGTACAGACATTTCTTGCGTTACATAAAATAATCTCTCGCGGACAGAAAGAATTTCCGAGAATTTTCAACTTCAAATCGCGAAAATCGAGAATCGAGAAAATGGCAAAGTATCAGTGTTGCTTTCGCAGCGTACGTGTTGCTTTGCCGCGTCCCTCCAACTTGGAGTGGGGATGATCCGTTCGGCCTCGCGACGCGCACGCTCGCACACAAGCAACGCGCCGTATATACGTGTGCACACGTATTGGAAATATGAATCGAATATTACCGAATCTCACCGGAAAGAGTCGATGTCAGATGAGTACCTCCCGCGCCCCGAATATCAGAACCCCTCTTGTCCAGAGTTGTAGCCATGGAGAACATTCTCCATGGTTGTAGCTAATGCACCGTCTATAGATGTCTATGGATTCACCCTGTACATTCTCCATGATTAGAACTATGGTGTAAGGAAAAGTATCTTATTTAAAAATTGCGGTCTTAATTCAATTGGCCAATAAATCAATATGTCTCCTATTTGGCCCAATGCGCTCATTGGTTATTAGAGATGGATGCGCAAGAGCACACCTTGTTTTTCTTACACCATGTCCCTGGATTCTTTTCGTATATCGTTGCGCTCCGTCGATAAAATTAAAACGATAGGTAGACATGAGAGATAAAGTTGTATAGATTCGAAGAATTGAAGTTCTTTTATCTACACCGCTCTATTAATTATCAACTGAACCACTCATTACATTTTTCGGATATGTTTTAAAACATTCAAGTTTTATTTAATTATATCCTAATTCTTTCTCGCGATTTTTGAAAATTCTTGGAATTACAATTTTTGGAGAAATTCAATGTTGTCTCTTGCCTCATTATACGCGTCTAACATTTGGTGAATATTTAAGAGTTTAGATTTCCACGATTCGAACTTACAGAGCGCAGGTGGAAGGAATGGACGAAAATATTCAACATTTAGGAACATTATATTTATTCCGCTTGTGCGTTACGTTTGTCCGTTTTTAAAGGTTCACTCGTATACTCCCACGCTAATCCAGCACGACCAGCCTCCGCTGCTTGTGCAGGATCTTCACCCAATTTCTGCTCGACACCCTTCCAGGATCTATCTTGCAAATATTGAGCCCCAGCTTTGCCAATAGCAACAGTACCTAGCGAAAGAATTGTTACATCCATCATTATTGCCGTCCAATTATCAGAGTTGGGAAAGTTTATAAAAGTATCTAGTTAGTTTTTTCGCTAAAAATGTAACTAGTTACAGCTACAAGTTACCAATTCTGAAAAGTAACGCGTTACAGTTACTCAAAAAATAATGAATCGTTACTTTGCAGTTACTTTCTTGTAGCGAAAATAAGAATATCAAAACGAATTTCAAGATTGCAGTGTTTATCGTTTCTTGGAAAACAAATTTCTTGGAATTTAAATAAATTAGGTATACCTGAGGAATGGACCGCCAGAGCATTCATTTGGTCTGTACAGAGCGTGTCGTCCTCGCAATTTCTGATACTGCTAGTGACGAGAGAAACATCAGAGTCCGTTGACTGCTTAAAGTCGACGTAGTGGGTGCCGCCGGGCAGTATCTGCCGAAAGTCCATGAAATATTGCGGACAGAACTCCCGCGCGTTGTTAAATGCCAATTCGACTTCGTACACCGTAAGCATAGGCTTGAAAAAGTCCCTCGAGTCAAATACTTCGTTCTCCGGACAAGCTATTACGACGAAGGCGTCAATCTGGAAGTGAAATCGATCAAATACCGGTCCAAGTGATTGTATAACGAGATCGAAATTAAAATTCGAGTGAAATATGCAACCCCCGCTGGACGTACCTCTGGAAAATTTGCAAGCTTGGCGGGATTGATCTTTCCCACGCTGAGAAGATAAGACTTTTTGCTTTTTTGCTTGAGAATCTTCTTCACGCTATTTATAGCCGTTAAGTACTCCTGAATGCCCAACGTGGCAACGACGATTCCCACAACTCTGGCATCCCTCAGCTTCTCTATCAGAAATCTCCTTCGCTTCAACCAAGGTGTGTTCAATGCTTGGAACTCACTAACCTTGCCGTTTGCGAAGCAGTGCCACCTTCTCATAGGCACGCTCATCGCTAATAACGCGAGAGTCTTTTCTGCCTCGCCCAGAAAGAAGCCCTCGTAATCCTGTACGTTATATCCGTTTTCCAAGGTGTAACTCCTGCCCAGGACAACCGAGGCCGGGCTTGCTCCCGCGTCGGTGTATTCCACGTTCGACGTGCAATTTAATTTAGACAAAACTAAGTGCTTATATACAGGTTTCAATGTACTATGTACACGTTCTGCAATCATAGAATGCGCATTACGCCCCCCCGTCGCCAGCTCTCCCCGTCTCTAGCAATATCTTAAGCGTTTACCGATCTCGTGCGCGTACGCCACGTCGTAGAAAAATATGATCTTCCTCGCGCAGTCCGGGAAGGCTCGCTTGAACTCCTCGCCGAATCCCGCCGCGTCCAGACGCCTCCTCGGCAAAACGTGGAGGACCGGTAGGCGAGCGGTGGGACTGAGGCAGGCGTGTCCGAAGTGTATTACGCCGTCCGCGTCAACGTGCTGCGCCGCTATCTCGTCGACGCAACAGCTGCCGCAAGTCGTGTCACCTAGGATATACACTTTCCGCCCCAGGTTCTTCTCTAAGCGCAGCGCAACCTCTACCGAGTCCGGTAGCAGGCTGTCCGGAAACTGTAGGCATACCTACAACGTACGAGAGAGCGTTACAGCCTCGGGTAGACACTCGCGTAGTATCGAAATACGAGTCGAATTATTTGTTTCATTTTAAACGCCCCCCCCCCTCCCCCGCGATAGAACGGCACTGCAAAACCAACGACCCGAAAGTACAGGCTTACGATTAACCTAACCTAACTTAACCTAATTTTATCTGCGAGTCAGCAGGCAACTCCAGCGACGCGATTATCGCTGTTGTCACTGTCGTAGCATCGCTCCTCGCTTTGCCCAGCGCTCTCGCAATGGTTTACGCGTCTTTTATAAGCGAGATCCAGCAAATACGACACATAACCTCAACCTCCTACCGCCGCGTCTCTAGCTCGCGGACAGGAACGACTTGCTGCGCGATGCCGAATCCTTCAAGAGGATCACGATTGCACGGTGTGCGCGAGGCATTTCTAAAAGCGCGCGCGTCTTCCGAACCTGTTTCAAGGCATTCGTCCGGATCCAACGGGCGCATCTCTCCACGTCGTACGGGTCGTCCCGGGCGTCCGCCACCTCGGCGACGTCCGCCTCGCTCCTTTCGCTCTCCGTTGAAGAGATCATGTCGTGGCTGCCGGCGCGAGAATCGTTCGTACGCGTTCAACTGCAGCCGGTCCTCGCGCGGACCCCGCGCGAATTTGCGCGGCTTAGCGCGTTTGTCACCTTGACACCTTCCTTCGCTCCCTCTCCCCCCACGTGCTCGCGTATTCTCCCTCCCTCTCCTTCGCACGCCGTTGAGGCGGAGATCGTGTCCTTTTACAAATGCACGGGCCTACGACTAGCACGTACGCCCGAAGAACGAGGGGAAGAGGAAGGATCGAGCATACGATCTCTGCTATTTCTCGCACGTCTCTTTCGCGCCGAAACGAAGGTGCTCCGCGTCAGGGACTCGATCGTGAATCTTCTTCTCCAGCGTAGTCGTGAAAATGTTCATAGATCAATATTAAACTCGTCAATGAAGTTCTTCCACTTTTCCTCCAGCGGAAAAAATTTCTACAAATAACTACGAAAAAGTGACTTGGAGTAGAAATTTGTAGAAAATTTTATGTCTTCGTTGAAACATTAAATTTTTTCTCGTAAAAATATCTACAAATAAGTACCACAACTTACAATGTTCTCAAATCAAGAAATTATTGCAAGTAGTATTTCATGAAAATGTACAATTTTGTAAAAAAATTAGTACAAGACTTTACTAGTTTAAAAAATTTGAGAAACAACAAAATCTCCCCTTACGGAAAAAGACGAGCCTTCGAGCCTTAGAGACTCGATCATGAATCCTTTCCCCAAACGTGAACTCGTGAAAATTTTCATTGACAAATATTGAATTCGTTAATGAAATTTTTGGCTTTTCACAAGTTCACGCTAGAGAAAAAGATTCGCGATCGAGCCCCAGGAAAAAGAAAACGTTTTGCCCAAAACGAATGGATACTCGGGATCTTGCGACAGTCGAAGGAATAAAATATGTTCTCGGCTTGGAAGGATTGCCTTGGTCTATTTCGTAGCGTCGAGTCTGCTTCGTTGTAGATAAAACATAATCATTTTTCAAATAGAGTCAACCAGGACCCTTACGATAATCAAAGGAAAGAGAACGACTTTAGTTCCGAGCAAGATGTCGGTGACCAATTAACTGTAATCCAAAATGTGAATTCATATACCGTAATAATAATTTTTATTGTACGCGACGCTCTCGGGCACGTGAGTTACGTAATCCCTTGGCGAGACGCGACGAGGCGGGCGATCTAGGCCAGGAAATGAAACGCGGGAAATGAATTGCGTCAAATAAATGTATTCGTATAAATCTGCGTGTCCATAAAAAAAAAAGTATTTCAACATAATAATAAATAAATTAATACAAATAATCGTTGTAATATTCGTTAATCTTCCGTTATCCTTCGTCAACTGCATCCAATCGCGATCCCTGTACGATTTATGCGAATTCGCGGCATTTAATTCTGCCCCGTTTCTTTCGTGCCGGAAGGAAAGGTAGATTCTCGTCGGAATTATGCCTTCGATTCACGATCTCGCGCACCGTTCATCATCTAATCGTTCATATCGGAAGCGAGATCAGTCTCCGAGGTTAACGACGGAGCGCAGTAAAGAGACAGAGAGATAGATGCTCGAAGAGATTAAAATGGACATATTTAAGTACATGGTGCACGGAACTTTTTATCGGCTTAGAAAAATTTCACGCAATGTACAATTCCCGTAACGTCTTCCTTCTGCAAGATACAAAACGCACAGGACTCATCACCCGATCACCCTCGTTCGCGCACATCTCAGACTAGAGATCCCCAATCTGTGACCCCCGTGAAATTTATAAAATAAAATAATATATATATATTGCGTTTTTGGTTTCACGGTTCCGTCGCCGCTGCTGGTCGCCACGTCAGACTGTTATAATATAAAATAATTAAAAGATAAAGACATTGATAATTTTAACAAGTGGAACTCATTAGTTTCAATACAACGATCTGAATGTGGCCCTCTCGAGGAAAAAGATTGGGGAGCCCTACTTTATACGTTACGCTCGCGCCGAATCTCGTTACGATTCCATCCTGCTGCTCGTCTACATTACGTAAAAATAATTTCAAGTAGCACATCGTAAAAGAAATCAAGTTGGATTGTATACAAGATTGTATAATTCTGCGACATATATAGCTATGTTACAAATAATGATTTTTTTTCCTGGGTATACTGATAAACGACTGAAAAATAAGATGATTCTTTAAATTATATTTATAATATATTATCACGGTACCATTTGTCTTCACTCTCGTCAGCGGTTGTATCGTTACACCTCGTTGTTTTGATCGCGCGATAAATTACAAACTCCGCGAAACGCGCGATCCAAAATCAGCAGACGGGGACGTAGGATCATGTACATACATACTCGTGAAATGTCGGTAATTTATTTGGGATCGAAAGAACTTGAATGTGTACCGAACTCCGAAATCCGTGAGGAATTCATTAAGTCGCGATTGCCGTCGAGAGTGTAATTGAACATTATGTATGTACAAACGATTATTACTCCTTATTGTAATACATTACATAGTTTTGCTTGCTTTTTTTTCTGTATATACGTCAGTCTTGGATTGCTTTTGCCAGAAAACGCATCGTTTCCGCCGTCTCCAGAGAGTCGTTTTAAATTCGTACATGTAGAAAAAGAATACACGATCGAGATCACATAATAAAAATCCTTCCATCTCGCGAGCGATGGTATCATCATTTCGTCATCGCTGCACTCGTCAGCGTCAGCGTCAGCGTATATTAGAAGCAAGAAAGAAATTCGCGATTGTTTCTTTCTTATCAATTTTAAGTAGAATATTTTGCATAAAATTAAAAATAAAATCATGCTTTGACCATAGGAATGTATACCGATCAATTTCAATAATTACAGAATCATTCTCAGATTGATCCAGCGGTTATTATGTGATTATCCTTTTTCCACACATGCACTCTCCGACACATGCATCGATTACCCACATACCTAGCGTGAATCCATATGTGATGCTAAAAAAAGGAAAGTCGTAAAATCCTATACATTATTTAAAAACATTTGTCTCCATGATTTTGCGTTTTAACACTAATTGTAAGCCCACACAGAAATAAATTCAAAATAACATGTGTAAATGTTATTTCCTTTTTTCTTCTTGTACAAAATGATCTGTTATCGATAAAACAATCAATTTAGGGAGAATAAATCTACAAAGACGATTACTGTTATCCTATAATTTTTGTACAAGAGAACTTTTATACGGAAAACTATTTCTGAGAATATAAAGTCTTGAGTGAGAGAAAATTTCACTCATCTTTTCATACGAGATCATTACCTGTTTGATTGTATCGCCAATAACAGATCGCCTTGTATTAATTTACATTCCATGATCTGTATTCTCATACTTTCACTTATCAGTATATCACGCTATTACTTTCTCTTGGCTTTTTTTCATATGTCCAGTGTCGATACCAAGGATGATATTAATCATAAAGACGATAGTATAATAATAATTCTGAGAATAAATCTCAATAACAATAATACAAATAATAGTCGTAATAATATTAATAATATGCCTTAAAAACGTATGTACAATATTCACCGACCCAATTTTTTAAGTATCAAGAAGATTCTCCTACAAGTACTAGAGATGAAGTGGAATAAGTTGCTTTAAATAATTACTTTTTACAAAATTACATTACAAAGTGGCATATTGAAAAATCTGAGCGAGTTATCTATCTAAATCTATTCACATTTACAGCTGCTAGAATTAGATTTACGCGGTGGCTTTATTACAGCTAGACTACTGGAAAGTATACATGTTTGTATATTATGAATAATTATTGCCATTGTAGAACAGAATATTTGATAAATCAAAATGCTCAGTGAAACATGTACGGGCGATCCAGCTTGCTGAATGACGTATAAATAAAACAATAAAGTCACATATGATTTATACAAATAATTTAGTTAATATAGATGTGTGGTTCAAGATATGCCGATATCGGAAACAATTTGCCCGACAATACTAAAACGCAGTTTATCATGATAGGTAGACATTTCCAGGATATCCACAAAAACCATGAAAAAATCGACTTACAACCGCTCTAAACTCTTAAGATGAATAATTAGCTTGATTCAACTATCAACTTTCACTTCTTAACATACTTTACTAAAGGAGGGTCACGAGCCTAAGATGCTGCGGACTGCTTGGTCCAGCGCAGTGTCTTTCGAGTCGCCGGACTGCGACGAACTACCGCTACCGCTGCCCGATAGGGTATTCGTAGGACGTTGCTTAAGATTAAGGATGCTGTCAATGGCGGACTGTACTTGCGCGTTGATTTCATCATGCTCGTTACCGGCGTTCCCGCTATCGCTGCTCGTTACATGGGCAGTACTGCTTGGACATTGCGTCTGCGAATGCAAAGCCAATTCATCCAAGTCGGTATCCTCTGACAAATCCCGTTCAAGATCAGTGGCACTACTCCAACGCCTGTCGAAGGGCGTATTTACATCCTGCTCGCAATCGTCTTTCATAATCGCGTTCGAGACACCGGGCAAACTAGTATTTGCAACATTTGTACGAAGACACTCGCCGTTCGCTCGTGTTCTTTCAATTTTCGATGATCTCGTAACAGTACACGCACTACTACCACCACTGTTATTGCCGTTTTTACACTTCAAAGTGTCTGCAGTAGATGGAAACACACCCAGTGCTTTCTGGATCTCCAGCCACTCGTCGTAATCGTTACTACTGGTACTACTCGCCGTCTTAAACGTTGGTTTGCATTCTATTTCGTCGTTTGGGAAATCATCCTCCAGTTCGCGTTTTACAGATACATTCACCAAAGGCGACGATGCTGTTAAGGTTGACTTGTTCTCATCCACAAGGCCAGGTTCAACTTTTGGCACCAACGGTTTTTCTTCCTTCTTAACCTCTTCTGTAATTTCATTTGCAATATATAGGTAATTATATCAAATAAATTAACACATTTTTTGCAAAAAAAAAATTTGTCTTTTAAATTTAAGATATACATATTCAGAATGTGAAAGGGACCAAGAGGTATGAAATAAGAAAAGAGATAAATGCATATATATAATTATGTTAGTAATTATATCGATTTAGAAAGAACTGATAATATGCGCGGTTACCGTCAACTTTTGCCTGTTGTTCTCGTAACCTGTTGAGAATACTTTGCTCTTCAGCCACAAAAGTCCTATCAATCATCATCAATTCCGACGTCCTCACTTCGCGCTGTAATTTTAAAGACGTTAATGCAGTGGCAACGTTAATCACTCACGTAACTAATTCGTCAAATAAAGAAAGGAAATTTGAAATCTAGAAAGTCGGTTTCTATAATCTAAAGTTAAACAACATTTGAACATTTCAAGTATCAACTCTAAACATTTTCTTATTAATGACCAAGTAATAAGCAACTAAAAGTAAAAATTTACTTTAGTGTACGTAAGTATTAAATAAGTGTATCATACCATGCTTTCCATTAGGAGAAGATACGTGTATTTGTTTATCATAGAGTTGAATTTGCTCAACAGATGTTTCGCTGTCTCTTCAAATATTTCGTCCGCTTTTGTCAGATCCTTGGGTCCTAGTACTTGCTCATTTAAACAATGATACCGTACCAAACGTTTGCAAGCATCCCGCTTGCCTGAAAATGGTGTATTCATATCTGGATTGGTTGCACCATTTTGATCGATTTGTAGTTGCTGTTCCACTCTGCAAGCAAAATGACGCGATTACATTTCAATACTAATAAATGTCGAAAAATGATATTAAGTGCAATAGACATTTATGTTTAAATACGTACAATTCGCTGCGGTTCGACTGCCTACAAATCGGGCTGGTCGCACGCCTTTTTACGCCTTGCCTCGGACTTATCAAAGGATTGGCGTTGCTGGTAGGACTCACGAGTTGCTTCATAGCATTTCCGTTAGTATTTACAGGACTCTGAATCCTCTGCGTTCCTTTGCTTATCATTCTAGGCGAGGTCACTTGATTCGCAGGCGAGCCGCTTTGAACTTGAACTTGGATAGGGGAGGGGAGTTCTTGTTTCACAGGACTCGGTGTCTGTATGTTCGGCTTGAAGTCCAGTGGGTCCGTCTGACACTGCGTCGATTGTTGCTGACATTGTATGCCTGATTGCTGCTGCGTTTGCACTTGGGTCAATTGTTGTGCGTTGCTCTGTAACTGCGGGGTTGTTACGGATGTAATCGGCGGCGAGAAGATTTGAATGTTCGCAGAGGACGGATTCAATATCTGAGTCCCATGATTCTGATAAAACTTATGCTGTTTGGCGTGCATACTCTGTGTCACAGTACTCGATATACTCGATTGCTGCCCTTGTACACTTTGTGGCACCTGTAACAATCATAGGTATAAAATATAACATTATGGCATTGAGCAATTTCTCTATGCGAACATTATATTCTTGTAAGTAAACGTATATTTACAACAATTCTTTGCGTACCGTAATGTTATTAATGTAACTGCTACTCGAGCTACTCGGCATTGTTACAGATGTGGTTGAACTTGGAGTTTGAGATGTTACTGGCATAACAGCGGTGGAAGTTTGTGTTTGCGTTTGCGCCGCCGATGTCTGGTTCTTGAATGAATTTTGTGAAAGTACATTCGACCCAACTGTGCAAACTACGTTTACATTGAACGTCGTTTCGGCAGTCTATGTAGAAAAAAAACCATTTCGTTACAGTAACAAATATTAAACAAATACTTCGTATATCTTGTTGAACGTTTCTTTTCTATTTTGCCAAAGACTCCAAGTGTACTTACGCTATTGACAGATTGTGTAGTAGTGCTAACGACTTTCCCATTGGCCAATATCTTTGCTTGCTCCTGGTACAATTTCGCCAACGCGGCCTGATCATGCGGCGTGCCAGATTTTCGAGACGAAAAAGCTTGGATTTGTGACTGAATGTTTTTCAGCGATGGCTGGAATTGAACAGGGAGCTGAATAGTTTGTACCATTCTTTGTACCATTTGACCATTTGAGGGAACTGATACATGACTGCCAGCAGAAGACGACATTAAAGGGCCATTGGCAATGATTTGAGTCGGTTCACTCTTAGTAGGATTTGTACTGTGAGATACCGTCGTGCTTGTTTTATTAGAATTGTCAACTTTTTGTAAATTGGAAATATTCGCCGTAACCATCGTTGGTCGGGTAACGGTTACTGTCTTCGTCTAAAACATAAAAGTAATTTTCAATAACAGAAAGAGTAAATAAAATGCAGATCCTGTACAATATTTTAAATAGAATCGACAATAAAATTTATATCGAGTAAAAAATGGCGTAAAAGCCGAAGGTATAGAAGATATGAAAGTTATAGAAATGCATTTATATACCTGTGAGTTTACAATGCTTTGAGCAGTGACGGCAACTTTTGTCTTTTTCACGATTTTCGCCTTCTTTGGTGGGTTGCCCAAGTTCCTCATTTGTTGTTGATTTAGGTTGTCAATAAATGAACTAGGAAAGCCGGAATTTTGAATTTGTATATGCTGCGGCATCTGGGGTGGTGCAGCTTGTACCACGATGTTCTGAATATTATTTTGGATTGTTGGCGCTCCACCAGAACTGTTGACGATTATCTGGCTCGTTGGAGTGTTGATCTGAACCCCTTGCAGGTTCTGACTGTTTGCATCCGACTCGCCAATCACTATCTTCTGCGTTGGATTTTGATTCTGATTTGGCTGATTTGTTACATTCAACTGTCCAGCTAAAAGTTGTTGCAAGAGTTGCTGACTGATCACTTGCATCTGACCATTGTTCGTCGCAATTAGCAGCTGTTCGTTAGGATTTAAGTTTCTCAACGCGTTAAAAATTTCGGGCGAGATTGTAGCCGTGCTCTTCAGTATATTGTTCGCCGAATTCAAAATATTTGCACCTTGGGACTCGACATTTTGAGATTCATTCTGTTGGGTAGCAGTGGAAGTAGGAGTGGTCGTAATCAATATATTCTGATTCGGGTTACTTTGTTGCGTATTGATTCCTTGCTGCACGACGTTAGCGGAGTTTTGAGACTCGAAGTGATTAATGGAAGAGTAGGTGTTTGCCGTTACTACCTTCTGTTGCTGAACATTCACATTTTGCTGGACACTCGTGTTGTGTAAAACAGCAGACGTATTTTGTTGTTGCAAACTAGTCATGACGTTCTGTTGCGCGTGAGCTATATCCTTGATACCCGACTGCAAATTTTGTTCTATATTCTGCACATTGCCAGCTGTATTTTGTTGCAGTACGTTAATCGTGTTTTGTTGAATACTCGAGTGTAAAACGTTCATAGTATCGTGTTGTTGCATAGTGTTGCAAGAACTTTGTTGTTGCAATATATTCATGGAATTATGATGAATGTTTGAGCTCTGCAAGTTTTGTTCAAATATTTGTTGCACGTTTTGAGTTTGTACGGTTTGCGCAGTGATCTGTTGGTTATGTTGAAACAACGGCGATTCTTGCTGCAACGTGAGAGTCTCTTGACTCGTTTGCTGAAGACTCTGGTTAGTCTTAGACATGTGATCGTTTTGTGCTATCGAGCTGCCGGATAATGATTTTTGCACATGAGCGCTGTGTTGCTGTTGCTGCTGCTGTGACTGCTTGCCCAAATTTTGCCGTATATTTGTTATACAAGCGTTCATGAGTCGTACCTGACTAGACTTTTGTAGAGAAAGATTGGAATTCTGTTGATTGGAACTCGTTTGACTTACGTTAGGCATTCGAGGACCCTGAATGCCAAACATAGGCGAGGGCTTTGTCGATAGAACATCCGGAGCATTCAGAGGAGTATTATTGCTTGTTTGTGACAATGCAGATTGAACATTTTTGCCTTGCATCCGTTTTTGTACATTGACGTTCTTAGACGTTTGTGTCTCTTGTAAAGATCCAAGGTTACTTTGAGCGCAGATATTAGGTAGCGTATTCGTCTCGTGAGGAATGATCGTATTTTTCTGCTGATTAATCGGCTTTGAACATATCTGGCTATGATGCGGACTAGTGGTGCAAATGACATTTTGCGAGCATGTAGAACTTATAGTATTGGTTGAAGCTTGATTTCCAGTCGATAAAGGAGATTTGACGTATTTTTGTCTCTGCTGGGTTGGGGTACTTTGAGTGGACTGTGGCGTACTTTGCGTTTGATTGAAAAACTGCGAGATAATCTGCGCATTTTGCCCGCTACCTTGAGTCAGAGATCGTATCAAAGCTTGCGCAGTCGCTGAATCTAATTCGGGTTGATTGGGTTCGGGGGTATGTTGTAAAATAAGTTGTTTCCCGTCTTCTCCAATTGATATACGAAATTGTCCCGTTAGCGTATTTTGTACGGGCATCTGGAGTTGGGTGACAAGCTGATTGTTGAGTGGTTGCGACACAGGAGCTTGCGTGTTCGTTGTGTTCGTTGCAGGTACTTGAGTTAGAGTAGAGCTAGCAGGAACTGTTCCTTGCGAAAGTTGGCCTAAGGATTGCCCGGAATTAGTTTCGCTTTGTTGCGTCTGGCAAGGAACTTCGGTTTCAGTTGTCAGCTCAGAATCAAAAATATCATCGTCGTCGACGATGCCCGATATTTTTATGATACGGGCGAGATCTAACTTCGGTACATCATCTTTCCGTTTGGCTTTCTTCTTCTTTTTCGCCTTTTTCTTAGGAGGCGGCAGTAGACTTTGTTCCGAGACAGGTTGCGGGCACGAAGCATTGCCAGTAGTAGTGTTACCAGATGTGACTTGGGAGATTTGCGACTGAGGACTTTGTACCATAGCATTCTGAATGACGATGGGATTGCTAGTTCCTGAGTTAGCTATTGAATTAAAAAATATCGAAAGAAATTAATATCAATCTCATGATGCACACAGATTGATGTTGTAAAGACACGACAAAAGATATGTAGAAAATGATTTAGAAAATTCTATGTGTATTTCTAAACATTTAATTCAAATAAAATAAATCTACGTTTCTTTAATTTAAATTGTGTTCCATAATATTTTTTATATTTTCAAACCGAGATAAATATTTAGTGTTTCATTTCTGTTAACTCAATCTATATATGCATCAATTGTGTGTGTGATATTACAATTCATTTTGTTAAAATATTGCTATGTAACTTACATGGTGCAGGACTAGATGGAGTATGCCTTATTACTGGAGAAGCAGCTGGAGGAAATCCATTGGGTACGGCAAAGAATGTGGGCGCAATCCCCTGCAGCTGCATACCTTGTGCTGTGACAACCCTCACCAATTGTTGCTGTGTTGTCAACTATAATTGGAAATTAATTATTTAATTCATTTCTTACTTTATTGCACTTTTATCATGCTATAATTTGTATGCAAATATTCGAGCTACTTGCATAAAAATTATAGCACTATAGATACACACTGTATGTATTATCTACTTTCAAATATATATACAATATTTTTATAATAAAACTACCTTTTGCAAAAAATAAGACAAAATTCACTTAATTATTAAGGTAAAAACAAATGTAAATTAAACATGAAAGTACTTTACGAAAATTTAATAAGCAATGATTATGAATGTGAATGTGAAGACATGAATGAATGGATGAAACCATCACCTGTGCAGTATGCGTTTGTTGCTGCGCGCCTGCTGGCGTCCTTAGTATGAGTTGAACGCCTCCTGGCTGCTGCTGTACAATGACAGGTCCAGTAGAGGGCAATACCTATGTATCAAATGTGACAAATATATGAAGCATAGAAGCAACATTCGGTGACAATAGAAGGATGCATATAAGCAGTTGTAATGAATATAAAGCATATCAAAGTATCTCTGATGTATACGGTTTTAGCCAATTACATAATGATTATGCAGATGACATACATAATAGAGAGACACAAACAGAGATGTAATAATATACCTGATTCAGTAGTAACCCCTGCGCTGTTGGGATCATTGTTGCTGTAGTTGGACTTGGTTGTGGCCCAGCGAGAACAATTTGCGGCTGACTCTGCTGCGTTACCTATAAAGCAAAAATTTAATATAAAATATTATATCGCATGTATATACACAGGATTGAGAAAGTTACTTTACAAAAGTAACTCGTTAGCATTACCGTTGTTCAAAAACTAACGAGTCATGATTGTTTTCATTACTTTTTCCTTGATGCAATTAAATACATGTTTCTACAGTAAATAAAATAGCAGTATAAGTAAAATTTTATTTCCTTTGATTTTAATTTTATTGCACCTTGAACTAGTTTTATATTTTATTTTTAAATATTTATATTAGATATAATATTAGATTATGCGTGCGCGCGTGTGTGTGTGTGTGTGTAACAGTCTTAAAGATTACAAAGGAAGAATAATTTGATAAAATTAAGATTAAAACTAAATTATAGCTGAATGCTATGTTAAATATAACATTATTACACGACTGACATCCAATTCACCTATTTAATTAAGTGATAAGATACAAATAATTTAAACAATCGTATGAATAATGCATTCTATATATCGCGTAAAAATAAGATTAAAAACAAGGCCATACCTGATTTGTAATTGTAGTGGTAACTCTCTGCGACTTTTGTTGAGACGTATTAGTCTGCTGATTTGGTGGTTTCGGCAAAATTTGCGGCGGTTGTTTGGTGGGCTTATTCGCCGCTATTTGTATCTGTTGATTTCCAAATAATTGGGTCCTGGTCACCAGCTGGGTTGGGGTAGATTGATAACCCTGTGGTGTACCATGAATTATTTGTAACACCTGCATTCCTTGCTGCAATATGGGTGTATTAGGCCTAACCTGGAACACGTGAAAGATAAAAGAATGTACTGGGATAAATTCAATCTTGTTATCGTTAAAGGCGCATCCTCTTTTTTAACAAATGTAAGTAAAATAGGTAGATAAAAATATTATCAACGTTCAAAGAGGTATAATATGTTAAACTAAACGATATCCTTAAATAAAAGAATAAAATTGAAATATGGAAGAAAAAATAGGAAACACAAATAGATATTCTGACAAAATCACTCTAAAATATGTCTTGGAATAAAAGTGCAAAGGAAATTTCGATAAACAATTTTGGAGTAGAATTGACAAGTATTCTTACCACAGGTGGACCAGGGCTACCGCCAGGTGCTGGGCTTCTATTGTTGAGAGAACTATTCCCGCTTAATAGATGAGGGCTTTTTGCAGGGGGATACGGGCTAAGTACAGGGCTCTGTATTTGGCTAACACTCATCGGGCTCTGCATGGGGCTTTGCATCTGCATGTTAAAGTTACTGTTCGAAGTCGACGTGCTGACCGGGCTTGGACTATTCCGATTGGACTGTATCGAGTTCGAAGCCGGACTTCTAAGTATAACTCGATTAGGGCTAGGACTCGGCGTAGGCGGTGCTATATTAGACGCTGGACTTTTCAAGGGTATTGAAAACGGACTGCCCGGCGAACTAATGTTCTGACCTTGGATATTTTGCATAGACTTAACAGTATTCATAGTACTGACCACATTCGACGGTTGTGTTGTGCCTGTCAATGCTACTGACGCACTTAACCCGGGGCTTATCCCCTGTGAATACTGTCGCTGTGGTTGAAATCCAGTCGACTGGGAGGAACTTAAAGAAGAAACATGACTCAATGACATGGTCGGTTCATTGGGCGCGGATATATGTTGCACATTTGACGTCGATATATTTGATAAATTAGAGTGCATTGTACCAAGGTGCGGTATGTTCGTAGTGAGATTCACGTTCGAAGCGTGATTCACATTTGCAGTGGTTGCATGAATCGATTCGCTCGGAGTGCTCGTGAATATGCTGGAACTGGAACTCAGAGTTCCGGAGTTAGAGATTTGTGAGATGTTCGAATTAGGATGTTGCGATATAGCAGAGTTTGGTACATGTGCTATATTAGACGATGCGACGATGTGTGGTGCGATATTCTGAATGCTCTGTATCGTTTGGAATGGAAACTGTGCACTGCTGGAATTCAAACTAGTTGGCGTCAAACCAGTTGCGGCCAGGGCATTTGCAGATCGATTAAGACCTTGATTCACACCAGAATTTATGCTAGCGGTAGCCAAATTCGTATTCGGATTAACCGATAAACCGGACACGCCGGAATTCGCGACGGTCAAGTTGGTATTCAGCGTAGTAAGATTCTGATTCACGCTCGATGAGTTTAGACTCGTCAAATTTGGCCCGGTCAGTCCAGCGCTTACTCCAGACAGCCCAGAATTAATATTCGTAGAATTTATCGTACTGAGCCTGTTTATCCCGGTGTTAACCCCCGCGTTAATGCTATTCAAATCTTGTCCCAAATTGGACAAACTGCTGTTGATGTTGTTTGAACCAATGTTGGACGTTAGATTGGAATTGATAGCATTCAGGTGATTCAGGTTAGGATTAATCGTGGTTAGCCCTGTGCTTATACTCGGCAAGCCCAAATTCAGCAGAGGATTCGATGTGGTGATAACATTGGATGTGAGAGATGTAAGACTGGTATTTAGAAGTGATAGTGGCAATCCCATATTAAGGCCCACCCCAAAAGTGGGGGTGGCCGGGGGTAGGCCCATACCAGTCCCCGAGGGGTTTATAGTACTCTGATTCAATTGGTTCAACTGATTTACGTAGACTATGTGATTTCCAGTTGCCGACCCATTTCCTGGCTCTTGTGGCTGTAAGAACAAGCGGCGTTAGAACGGCATCGCTCTTCAAAATAATATTCGACAGAATGTACTCGTCAACAAAAACCAGCTTACATTGTTTGATGTCTGTTGCAAAGCGAACGTTAGCGACTGGCCACTGCTATTCTGGGCTTGTAACTGTTGTAATTGCTGCAACTACAATCACAAACAAAGGCTCTTTTCTACACACCATCTTTTCGTTTCAATTTATACATTTTTTTCTATTTTCTGCACTTTATGTAAAGAAAGCTATGTAGATTTCAACTTGAAACGAGACACTTGGAAAAGGTACGCGTGTAGGAGCATCGACAGTAATAAATATATGTGTTTCTGCGGAATCTTACTTGTTGTGGGGTCAAAACGGTAACTGGATTATTACGCGCATTCGGGGAAGTTGTAGAGGATACTGAGTCCCCAAGAAGAGGGCGTGACTGAGGCTGCTGCATACCCACGCAGCCCCTCCTTACTATGGGCAGCGTCTAGCCACCGTTTCAGCTTATTTTGTTCTTTCCTATCAACACAAAATACACAAAATTGCACTCGTCTCACAGGTCCAGAGACTCACAACTTTACAATTGTAGCGTGTAAGCTTGACAAACGATTGTGACCGTCAGTGATCAGATCTTGACTTGCACGAGGAAATTTTTCGTCCTCGTCGAAACCGGCACATACCGCACGGATAAAACTAATAATTCAATGCACGTAGTTGACGCACGAGTCTCGATAAAAGTGCTACTGGAGATACTTAAAATTGATACCAATAAAAATTTTATATTATCGATACGCAAGCATAGTTACCAAAATTGTTTAGCAGTTGCGGCGAGCGATATTTGCGTTTCGGCGCCACTCAACACGTCTGCGGCCAACGTCTCCCGTTCCTGTCATGCATACAATTTCGTGTTCCTCGCGAAGCTGAGGCGGGGCACCAGTGCCGATTCCTCGGGGCGCGTGTCTCCACGCGTATCGTTAACGTCGCGCCTTTAAAGCTCGCGTGGCAGCGCTAACCATTCGTGGCCGTTAGAGCCGTTAGAGGCATCGCGTCGCGGCGTACAGAGAGTAGTCCCCTCGCGAACTACCTTACCCATTAAAAAACAGCTGCGCAATCGCATCGTAGGTATATCCCGACTTATACTTAAGGCGCGTCTGCCGCGGGATTTTATCCATTTATAAACGCGGCGACGCCACGTCCATGACAACACGCTCGGGATACACGCGGGGGAACGGCGAGTCGTGCGCTGCGAGCAACGGTTCTCTCGTGTTTACACGCTATCCCAGGTCCAGGAAGTAGCTCGCAGACATTCTTGAATACTTGTCGGGTGTCGTGAGTGGTGTCACAACATTACGCCTCTGCTCGCGGCACGTCCGTCGGGGCGGTCGTTGTCTCTCGACGAGGGTGCTCCTGGGGTCGCTGCGCACGCGAGGCTCCCTACGGGCGCGGGTTCCGCTGGTGGTTCTCGTGCTGCAAAGAAGAAGAAGCGGAGACCCGCGATTAGCCATCGCGTTCGCGCGTGGATCTAGCTCCCTTCGCGTATCTCGCGCCCGCGGATCACATGGGTCCTCGCTACGGGGATCTCGGGGCGAGGAGAGGGGGGGGGGAGTACGCGAGGGAGACCCGGGGGGGACGGATGTAACGCGTCGCCGCGCTCCGGGACGGTGGCGAAGCCGTGGAGCGCGCGGCGAGCCCCGGGGGACCGGCGGCTGCCGGCG